TAGTCCTCTTACATCCCTTAGCATATTTGGAAGACTATCCAACTAAACATGCTCAGGTTTTTTTAACCTTTCCTCAGAGGTCAAGTGTTCTAAACCTTTTATAATTTTTGTTGCCTTCTTCTAGACCAGGGGTCTCAAACTCAATTTACCTTAGGGCCAGTGCCAGTCCTCAAATCCTCCGAACGGGCCAATGTCACTCATGCCGCCCAGAACCCACCCCCCAAAACTCCACCCCCACCTGCCTAAGGCTCTGGGAGGGAGTTTGGGTGGAGGAGGTGGTCTGGGGTAGGGGATTGGGGTGCAGGCTCTCAGGAGTTTGGGTGCAAAAGGGATGAGAGGTTGGGCTCTGGGAGCGGGTGTGCCTGGGGGTGGCAGGTGGGGCCAAGGCAGAGACCCGGCCTCAAAATTGCTGGAGGCCCACAGGCCGCATTGGGGAGGCTCTTGGGCCACAGAGGACCTGGGGGCCGGGACTTTGAGAACCCTGTTCTAGACTCTCTCCAATTTCACCACATCTTTCCTAAAGTGTGGGGCCCAGAATCGGTCACAGTACTCCTCCTGAGGCCTTGCCAGTGCCAAGTCCAGCAGGACAGTTACTTCCCATCTCTTACATATGACATTCCTGTTAATATACCCCACAATGATATTAACCTTTTTCACAACTGCATCACATTGACAACTCATATTCCATTTGTGATCTACTATAACACCCAAATCCTTTTCAGCAGTACTACTGCCCAGCCAGTTATTCCCCTTTTGTAGTTGTGCATTTGACCTTTCCTTCCTAAGCATAGTACTTTGCATGTCTTTATTGACTTTCATCTTGTTGATTTCAGATCAATTTTCTAATTTGTCAAGGTCATTTTGAATTCCAATCCTGTCCTCCAAAGTGCTTGCAACCCCTCCCATCTTGGTTTTATACACACATTTTATACATATGCCCCACTTTATTATTCAAGTCACTAATAGTACTGGACCCAGCCGTGACCCCTGCAGGAGCACATTAGATCGGGGTAGGCAAACCTTTTGGCCCGAGGGTCACATCTGGGTATGGAAATTATATGGGAGGCTTTGAATGCTCACAAAATTGGGGGTTGGGGTGCAGGAGGGGGTGAGGGCTCCGGCTGGGGGTGCGGACTCTGGGGTGGGGTCAGAAACGAGGAATTCAGGGTGTAGGAGGGGGCTCTGGGCTGGGGGGGTGAGGGCTCCTGCTAGGGGTGCAGGCTCAGGGGTGCAGGAGGGTGGGACTGAGGGGTTCAGAGAGCAGGAGGGGATCAGAGCTGGGGCAGGGGGTCGGGCTGCTGGAGTGGGGGTCATGGGTACAGGTTCTGGTCACGGGTGCAGGCTCTCAAGCAGCTCCCGGAAGCAGCGGCATGTCCCTCCTCCGGCTCCTACGTGGAGGCATGGCCAGGCAGCTCTGTGCACTGCCCTGTCCGCAGGCATTACCCCTGAAGCTCCCATTGGCTGTGGTTGCCGGCCAATGGGAGCTGCAGGGGCGGCGCTTTAGGGCAGGGGCAGCATGCGGAGCTCCCCGGCAGCCCCATGCATGGGAACCAGAGGGGGGATATGCTACTGCTTCCAGGAGCCACCCAGAGCCACAGCACACATGGAGAGGAGCAAGCTCTGGACCTCGCTCCCCAGTAGGAGCTTGAGGGCTGGATTAAAACATCTGGAGGGCCAGATGCAGCCCCCAGGCCATAGTTTGCCCACCCCTGCACTAGATACACCCTCCCAGTTTTACAGCAAACCCTTGATAACTACTCCTGACTGTGGTCAACTATTTGTGTACCCAAATTATAGTAATTTCATCTAGATCACATTTCCCTAGTTTGCTTAAGAAAATGTCATGTAGTGACTGAAGTAAATAGGATGACATTCAATAAGGAGAAATGCAAAGTACTCCACTTAGGAAGGAACAATCAATCAGTTGTATACATACAAAATGACTATCTAAGGAGTACTACAGAAAGGGATCTGGGGTCATAATGGATCACAACCTAAATGAGTCAACAGTGTAACACCGTTGCAGGAAAAAAAACCAAAAACCATCATTCTGGGATGTATTAACAGGAGTGTTGTAAGCAAAACACGAGAAGTAATTCTTCTGCTCTACTCTGCACTGATTATGCTTCAGCCTGAGTATTGTGGCCAGTTCTGGGTGTCACATTTTAAGAAAGATGTGGACAAACTTGAGAAAGTCCAGAGAGGAACAACAAAAATGATTAAAGATTTAGAAAACATGACTTACAAGGGAACATTGAAAAAATTGGGTTTGTTGAGTCTGGAGTAGAGAAGACAGAGGAAACATAACTACATAGTTTTCCAAACACATAAAAGGTTGTTACAAGGAGGAGGGAGAAAAACAGTTCTCCTTAGCCTCTGAGGATAGGACAAGCAGCAATGAGCTTAAAATGCAGCCAGGGTTAGGTTAGACATTAAGAAAAAGTTCCTGGCAGGATGGTTAAGCACTGGAATAAATTGGTCTAGAAAATAGTCCTGCCGTAAGTGCAGGGGACTAAACTAGATAACCTCTCGCGGTCCCTTTCAGTCCTACAATTCTATGACTGTGTCAGAAGTCTTACTAAACTCAAGATTTTCACATCTACTATTTCCCTCCTATGCAAGTAGGCCATGAAGGAGAGAAAAATACCAGTAGGCCAAGAACACAAAAGCAAACTCCTAGAGCTGTTTGCTTCTGAAGTGAAAGATTTTTTTGGGCAGATGAGAGGAAACTTGCCTTTCATTTTCTTCTCTTTCCTGTTGCAGTCCCTTCTTTTATTATCTGCCCCAGATAGCTTCCTACAAGCTGCTAATCCACCCCACGATTGGGGGCTATCTCCCAGATGTTCTACACAAGGGTGTGGATGGGAGAGCTGGCAGCAAAGAGAGAGTCACAGGAGGAAGACAGTATAGTCTTGCAAGTCAGGACTCATTCTAGGAAAGTCTTGAGACACCCTTTCTGTCAACACAACACCTTTTAATTGGCCTTGTGCAACTCTTGGGGACACCCTTACTCTTTAAGGACTAATGTGTTAGGACAGCAGTTCTCAAACTTTAACAACCCACAGACCCCCATTTTGATTTTAAAATATTTGGAGGATCCCCCCCAGGCTCCTTGCTCAGCCCCTAACCCGTCCCCTTCCCCAAGGCCATGGCCCTGCTCACTCCATTCCCCCCTTTCTTCCCCACCTTCACTTACTTTCACCAGGCTGGGCAGGAGGTTTGGGTGCAGAGTGCAGGCTCTGGGCTGGGAGTTTGGGTGCGGGAGAGGGTGTGGGCTCTGAGAGGGAGTTTGGGTGCAGGCCCTGGATTGGGGCAGAGGGTTAGGGTGTGGGAAGGGGTGAGGGGTGCAGTGCTTACCTCGGGCAGCTCCCGAAAGCAACTGGCACATCCATCTGGCAGCAGCCCCAGAGGTCTCCACACGCAGCCCCTGCCTGCAGGTACCGCCCCCACAGCTCCCATTGGCCACAGTTCCCAGTCAATGGGAGCTACGGAGTCGATGCTTGGGCTGGAGGCAGCATATGGAAACCCCCTTCTCCCCAACCCTGAGGCTGCAGGGATGTGCTGGCTGCTTCCAGGAGTGGCACAGACCCAGGGTCCCCACTCTTCACCCTCCCTCCCAGTGCCTCCTTCACGCCAGGGAACATGAAGGAGGCGCTGGGAAAGGGAGGGAGAGGAGTTGATTAGGGGGACCCATGAACCCCCTGGAATACCCCCGCAGACCCCAGTTTGAGAAATGCTGTGTTAGGAGAAACACTAATCCTAAAATCCATATAGGGAGGACAGGAGCTTAGTTTTAAATGGTCTCAGCTGAAAGATCCATACTCAGAGATGCCAGATCTCAAGCCATGTAGATCATCATAACAAACGATCTGGATAAAGTCTGCTGGCTTTTGACCCTGTAGTGTTGATACAGGCTCTTTCAAAGCTAATTCTCATACACCTACACCCCACTCTCCATCTTATAAATATGCTACTTTTGATCAGGAAAAGTCTAGATGAAAAAGAAATCACAGGAGTGGGAGGCAGAATATTTCCACTGCTGAGGGTTTCATCTCAGTCACTGCACAGGGCCCTGGTAAAGATTCATTAGGTACCCAACTGCATTAATTTCACCTCCAGCATTTTATTTAAAAGTATATTTTACACACAAAAAAAATCATGTGAGAGAAAGTGGGAGGCCTTGCCGTAGTCTGAATAGATCCCACTCTTACGCTTTCAGAAGCGAATATTGCTAGTAGAAGTTTACAGTTGAAGCCACCCTGCTGCCTCTTCCAGCCAATTAAACACCCACTTGTGCTAACCCTCCTAGGTAAGCAACAACTGTATCATTACTTTTATTCATATACATACAGCTCCACGCACATTACCTTTGAATAGGTCCATATTAACGCCCCAGAGACTAACATTTATAATTATGCATTATGAATTTTGAATGAAAATCATGAAGTTCAAAGCCCTTCAGCATGAATAAAAGGTCTCAAAACACCTCTGATGGTGGTATTATGTAATAGTTGATGTGGAGAAACTGAGGCACACAGGTTAAATACTTTGCACAAGCTGTTTTAATGCACTAAAAGTGAGGAGCAGAATCAAACTCCCATCTTCCACTCTCAAGCTAAAACGATTAGCCTAGACAATGCTTCCTCCCCTATTTAAAAAACCCACAACATTTTCAGTACTTGCAGCCATGGAAGTGAAAAGGTTACACCTCTAGCTCCCCAGCGAATACACTGGGGCCACTAAAGCCAGCCACCCTTTCTGCAGGCAGGTACGCAGCCTTAGGTTTAAAAAAAGTAACAGTTTGTATGATCAGTTTCCCCACATACTAAGTAAACGTGTAAGAAAAGTAAATATAGTTTGTCAGATAGACCGACCTTGAACTAGGTGACTTTAGTAGACATTAACTTATTACATTTCTCCTGGTCTCCAAGACGAACTTTGTCCCTGTGACAACTGGCAGCTGATGCAAGGATAGGGAATTGAGCCTATAAAAGTCTAGCTGAAAGGTTTGGAAAATTCACTCAGGAGTCCACCACCTTCCACGAATGCTACTAGCAATTGGCAGCCTATCCAAAGAAGATGCAGTGTTTGAAAGTTATAGCTGTCTTACTACTTTGTGCAGCCCTACTCAGCCAGGTAAGAGCAGAAGGAAACATTTTCATTTAAATGGTCAGGCAATTACTAAGATGAAAGTTTGTGTGCTTACATGCATAAAATGCTGAACAGTATTTAGAGTTAATGGCAGTGTGTGTCTCAGTTACTTCAGCAAGTGAAGGCAGCACAAGCCAGTGGTCTGAGGGCAGCAGGAACCAGAAACTCTAGAGCTATTATCTCAGTTCTAACACGGACAGTGTCAGTTTAGGCCAGTAATTTAGTGCGTCTGCCTCAGTCTCTTCACCTATGAATGAGGATGGCTACTTCCGTCCCATGAGTACTGGAGCGCCTTAGTTACTTTTGATATAGAACTTTACAAACATACCAAGCAATAAGAATGTTTCAATAAGAATGTTATAATCTGACTGCCAAATGAGGCATCTGTAAATAAGTTATTTGCTGAGACAGGTATTTGAAGTCCATTAAACCCAAGCTCGGACTAACTGTGGCAGGAAGCCACCGTTCCTTCATGACAATTGTATTTCAATCTTGTTTCAGGTACACTGTGCTTCCTTGCATCATCCAAGCTCTCAGCTAACAAGGCAAAGGAGGATGACACCTTTCTGGAGAGGGATTTCCCTCAGACCCATAGGAGCCAAATGCAGGGACGACAGTGAATGCGTCTCTATGCTATGCAGGTAAAACTACTCATTCCCACATGTTTAAGGGAAGGATAAAGGCACAGGAATGTTTCACACCAGTGTACAGGGGGAATTTTCACTGAATTATCCAATACTTGAGATGAAATTTATACAGTACAGAAAGAATAGATGCAGCAAGGGTTGGAACAATAGATTCAGACATTTTTCAAAATTAATTTTCTTAGTGCAAACTGCATGCAGAACCGTTCCTAGGAGTTCTATGGAGATTGGCAATGTCTTTTTTTTTTTACTCTGCGCTACAAAGATTATATATTTTCTAATAAAGATGTTGCAATTTAGAAGTGCTGGGCCCAGGATATTAGAGAGACAAGGGGGGGAGTGAGGTAATATCTTTTATTGGCCCAACTTCTGATGGTGAAAGACAAGCTTTTGAGCTACACGGAGCTCTTCTTCAGGACTGGGAAAGGTACTCAGTGGCACAGCTAAATACAAAGTGGAACAGATTGTTTAGCATAAGTAGTTAACACATTCTAAGGGACGATTCTTGCAGGACAGACTTAAGTGATGACTGCTTTTTAGCTTTAAAAATCAATCCCCCTTCAAGCAGGTGGTGTCATTAAAAAGCAGTATCTCACAATAAAGGATAGACATTTTAATTTAGATGAGACAGATAAGGAGCTCAGAAGTCTGAATGTGAATTAGTCTACATTACTAGACACAAACAGAACAGGGCCTCTCTGCTGCCCTCCCTTTCCCATTTCCTCCAACTACGTCTAAACAAAGACACCGAAAACCAAACTACTACTAAATAACTGAAGACAGACTCCTATGGGAGAGCCCAGGCTGGTGGCAATATGCCCAGCACCCTACACCCCCAATCTAGGAAGAGATGGGTATAGTGCTTTGGCAGTGCACACTGCATTCACAGTGGGAAGTGAATAGAAAGGATATCTTTTAGTAGATAATAGAAGTCAAATTGTTATTTTAGATGCATTTGTGACAGGTTGTTTTAGACTACAGTTTAACAAAACTGGTATGTTACCCCTCAGCCTTTCAGAGACGCAAGAGCAGGTACAGAAAGATGCATATAGCAATAAAAAGGGATTTCCACTACGCAGTAATGCATTCAGCATTATCAGGGGTGTAGTCAAAGGACAGGCAGGTGTTCTTGAGCCAGTGTGCAAAGCAATAAAGCAAAGCCACCAAGCAAGGCAAACCAAACCTTGTGCATTTCATCTGCCGAGGAACTGATTTCAGGTCATCACTTTTTACAATACATTTTTGAAAGAAGACTGCCCTAGAAATCAAAACAATCCCTCCCTGCCAGTGTGTGTCACTGATAGCATCATTATTCCCTAAAACGTGCTTTCAGGATGTGCTGAAGTAAGATTTGAGAACTACTGAAAGAGTACACACCAGATTTACTTTAAATTCTAGTTACAGAGAGAGCTAAACCAAATGAACCATGCTATGTGCATGTTTACACTGGGCTGAGACCTACATAACTACGTCAGCCCAGGCCTTTAATGATTAATACTATGTCCTTTTTTGCAGGAAGACTCGCTGTTCCCTAAGAATTTCCCGTGAGTGAGCTGTCACTAAGAAGAAAATATTGTTACCTCTTACAACGTTCAACCTTATATATAAAATATTTATTAACTATTCTTAAGTTAGGACACTTTGAATTATGCAATAGCATATATTTAGTATTTTTCAGAAAAACGTGATATATGAAATGATGTAGGGCATTTCATGAAAGTTGAAAGCATGCACTGGTCTAGACTGCACCTTCTGATGACAAGCTCAATAAAAGACCTTGCATCTTAGTAGCTTTTTTTTTTAAAAAAAATTGTTCACATTTTATGTTTTTCTATATGATAAACAAAGATTTGTATTTAGCAAACAGACTTGCTCTGTCTTGTGTCTAATGAACAAAAAGTCACAGTGGAGGGTGCAAGCTGGGGAGGCATTCCCGAAAGAGCGGGGGCAGGCAAACTTTTTGGCCTGAGAGCCACAATCAGGTTTCCGAAATTGTATGGAGGGCCGGTTAGGGGAGGCTGTGCCTCCTCAAACAGCCAGGCATGACCCAGCCCCCGCCCGCTATCCGACCCCACCACCCCTCCCTGTCCCCTAACCACCCCCGCTGGCCCATCCAACCCCTCCTCTCACTCCTGACTGCCCCCCGCAGGACTTCTGCCCCATCCAACCACCCCTTCTCCCTGACCTCCCCTGGAACCCCTGCCCCTGACTGCCCCCCGCCACCCCATTCAACCCCCCCCTTCCTGATTGCCCCCCAGGACCCTGCCCCCCTTCAACCCCGCTGTTCCCTACCCTCTGACCACCCCGACCCCTATCCACACCTCCCTGCCCCCTGACCACCACTCCTAACTCCCCTGCCCTCTATCCAACCCCTCTGCTCTCTGCCCCATTACTGCACGGCCTGGAGCACCCATGGCTGGTGGTGCGACAGCCGCGCCGCCCAGAGCACCATGCTGCCCGGCTGGAGCCAGCCACGCCACTGCACGGCACAGAGTACCAGGTCAGCCTGCGGCTCTCCAGCTGTGCTGCCCGGCAAGAGCTCGCAGCCCCACCCCGCCCAGAGCATTGCGCCAGCAGTGCAGTGAGCTGAGGCTGCAGGGGAGGGGCTGGGAGCTAGCCTCCCGGGCCAGGATCTCAGGGGCTGGGCAGGAGGGTCCTGCAGGCCAGATGTGTCCCCCGGGCCGTAGTTTGCCCACCTCTGCGAACGTGTTAATGTGCAGCTGGACTATGGACATTTTACCCTTTGGCCTGGTGAGCGAATAAACCAATCATCTCTCCTCCCACTGATACCAGCCAACAGTTCACAGGCAAGCAGCCCTTCTGAGAAAGGGAACAGAGTGAGCAATCTTATTAAACAAGAACCTCAAAACAGCAGATTCCTTCAATACTCCAGTGTTCCCCACCGTATTTGGAAGAAAACAAACCTATTGCTACCAAACTGCTCAAATCAAGTAAGAGCAAGTTTAACTGAGTAACTACTTCAGGTTTGATCAGATTAATTTTAAGTATTTCAGTGACTATCACGTTTGCATGCTAATCAACAGGGCTGAAAGAAACAAGACCACTTCCACTGAATCAAGTGAAATATCAAAATAAGTCTCGTGCCACCTGCATAACAGATACTCTTCTCCCTTGTCATGCATGGCAACAGGTAGATATTGCGAGGGCGTGAGGACCCCAGAGAACTGAGCTGGAAGATGGAATACCCCTGAGGAGGAACCCTACACAAGATACAAGCACAGTGTTTATAAAGTTTAATACAGAAAATCTATTTGATATTTATTAAACTTAGTTTCTCCAGTTACAGTTTTGCATTGTACAAAGCATTTTAATGACACAGTAGTTAAAAAGATCTTTACAAATTGAAATGTGATACCCTTTTCTCCAAATATTTTAATTGCCATAAATTTGTTTAAAAATACACATTAAACGCATGTTTCAGACACTAAACTTTCTATAATCTCAATACCACAAAATACATTGAATATACTATACAGATGTGGAAAAATCTAGTTAGTATATAATACTTTGCTCACCATTAACAGCTTTATTACGTGAAATGCACATACTGACTTAGAAATCCTAATTTTGAGCCTCAAAGTACCCTTTGAAATTTCATATGTATTGCAACAAATAAAATCACAGTTTTTTTGTTTTTTTGTAAGTTTTGGTTGAAGACCGATGCCTAGAAACAAAATGTAAGACATGGACTTGTCATGTACAAAGCATAGGATAGAGACATCCCATCATTAACAGTACCTTTCTGCATGATTAACAAGGGCTTTGAAGTGGTAGGTTAAAAGTTACCCTCCCCTGCCCTACCCAACCCTCCTCAAAAGAAAACACAACCCTTCTTCACCAAATAATAATAATTTCAAATAAGATAAAGGATCTTTAATAAATATATAAGCACTTTATCCTCCATATACAAAATTTCTTCAAACCATTTAAAAGGGGGACAAGATACAGACGTCAGTCACTGTGCTTGAAAAAGTCATGTCTGGTCCTTGTAGTTGAACTTTAAGATATTTAATGCCAATGCAGCCAACAAATATGGGCTACAATACTTGTGTACCTAACTGCATGATTTCCTACGGTTATATCTAAAAAATTCAAGACCGGGAACATTTCATTCCAATTTGCCAGTATTGACTCCATTAATAAATATGGAGTTACATCAATTGGAATGGATGCGTTTCTGTTAAGTTTCCAGATGGAATTAAAGCAGGTAAAAAAGTTTACATGTGGATAGCCTATATAAACTATCCTGAAGCAGCACTTCAAACTGCTCAACATAGTGTATTCAATTTAATCTCAGCTGAATATTGGAATAGAGAAAGAGCTAATGCTGTCATTCTCTAAGACTGTTCTATGAACTGGCCAGGCTCATTGCTCTAGCATCCTCAATAATTTTCACTATGAGACAAGAATCTAGTTTTATTTTTATAGCTACCCCCGCTCTTTCCTCCTAACACTGCTATGTTTAAATGGCATCACAGACAAAACTCCTTCAAAAATAATGTGATTTGACATGATTCTTTTTGTACTTCCATCTCCAGGAAATCAGTCCTCTTAGAATAGTCTGTGTTTGTCTAACAGAGTTGCTTAGCAAAAGCTTTGGCACCTCTTTGTTTAAAGATATCTAAGATTAGCTTTGTGTTGGAAATATACAGCTTTCCATAATACTGATTCACTAGACCTAAAGTAATTCAATCCTCAACCTAAATATTTATGAAATATTTGTTAGGGCGCTAACCAATGATTTGGAAGTTACTTGCTCCCCAATGGGTAAATTAATTCAAACTTGACTTGCTCAGGCCCTTCTGTAACTGTTTTAATATAAACACTGCAATGACAGTAAATTTTTCTGCTAGGGTAAACAAAATATTAAATAAAGCAAAGGTAGTCTCTTTCTACTAGTTTGGCAAAAACTACACAGTTGCATGCCTAAGGATTTATTTCACTTGCCCCAGGCAAGTATGAAATTATATTCATAAAGTACTGACTCTCTATATGTTGGGGTCATTCATAAATACATTTTAGGGTGTTTTTTTTTTTAAATCACAGCAATCAAGCCTCAGCAATCTAAAAGAATATACATTGCACTCCTGTATAATATCAAGATTCATCACCAGTAAGATGGTGATTCAGCACTCAGTTTAATAAATAATATATCAATATAATCAGTTGCACTATAATCTAAAAACAAGTATAACATACTTTGGACAGACTGAGTTCATATATATATATATATATACATATATATACACACACATATATATTAAAGACACATACAATACAAATTGCATACTGCCATCAAAGACAAAAAAGAGCCATCCAATGTGCTCTAATATTTCAAATCAAAATAAATCATGGGTTATTTTGTTCTGGTGTCCTGTAGGCTCATTTACAATTATAAATGATGCAACTTGTCATTTCAGAATCTGAAAATTTGACCGCAAATTCAAAATAGTTTTCATGTCTGAGCAAGCCTAGTCTGATTATTAAGCCTTTTTAAAAAATTTTTTAAAAAAAGGTTCACCACTGGGAGGACTGGGGTGGGTGTGGAGGGATGAATAAAAACTACAACACTGATGTTTGTTAAAATATAACCATATAGGGAACCCTTAGTATCAGGAGTTAAGGATTCCTTCATGGTAAGACACTGTGCAACTTGCATTAGCACTCAAATGACATGCGTTTCCCACATTGCTGCTTAAAGGTTAAAAAAGGACAGGTTTTGTTAGCCTGCATTTTGACAGAGAGATGGACGCTTATGAGCGATTTTCATTTTGTTTTAGCTACTCTATCAGGCAAAATAAAATTCTCCTCTCTCTCTCTCTGAAGCAATGGGTAAATCTCAAGTTAGATATGCTTTTGGAGTTGTCAAACTGAGTTTAATCCATTTGAAATGGCCTAAGTCGATGGAGGAGTTTGTTTTTTTAACAAGACCTGTGTATATGTCTTACACAGATAGAAAACCTGGGACAATACTCCAGAAGGATTTCACCAGAACGTATACTATTTAGGCAGGCCTCTACCTGCCAGTTCAGGTCCCCATTTTGACAGACTGTAAAGAGTCTTCTAGATTTTTTTAGACAAACATTTAGAATCTATTGGTCTGGAGCTAAGGAATACACTAAACTGGTCTCTTGAAAAATATACCACGCAAAGATACTGATGAGACTCTAGTTAAGAAAAAATAATATTCCCAGAGATGAGACCATTACTGCCTACATCAACGGTAACTGTGCACATAACGGAGCAAGCTAGAAACAGCCATGCCGGCTACTGCAGCCTTATACAAAAATAAAATTAAAAAAAAAAATACAAACAATGCAGCTTCTAAGAAGGTATTTTTATATAGCGTCAAAAGTGTGCTAGGCACTTTAGAGTATTACAAAGGAAAAAGAGTTGACAGTGTCCCATTAACCAAGATGCACAGTTTGAGAGTAAAGAAAGTTCCATCTCTAATAGCGAACACAGAGAAACTAACTTACATTGTGACTCAAATAAAAAGGGTACTCAAACAGACCTGAATGTAGGCTGAAGTATAATGGGGAAAATCATAGGTTGAATGTCTCCATTTGTATGTAGCAAACTTTTCTGGAAGTACAAATAATGTTGGAACACATAGGAAGCTCTACGAATATGCAGCTACAGTTTAGTCAAGTTACTAATTTGCAAAACTTTTTAACTCTTAAAGCCCATAGGACATACTGCAGTACTAAGTAGCGTAGAATTCTATTCCTTCTTTTGAGGTTGCCATCATTTTGGCACTTACACAACTACACACAAATTTAGTGCAATAATTTTTCTGAACATGCACGTTCACATCTGGTACAGAATAAGGGGGCAATGGGAAATAAAAACAAAGCAGCATTCCATAATACCACTCTAAATGGTTCAGAGTTTGACTCTTTAAAAGGAGACCACTGTAACAGGAAGTCAGTTTCTATGACACACACTAGGATGTTGAAAAAGAAATGGAATTTTACCAAAAGTACTGCAGAAGACCAACTCCATACAGTATACATGGTCCTGCTGTAAAACTTCATCTTGTAAACAGTTCATAAAATCTTCATCTAAAAGTAAGGCATAAGGCACACCAGACATGATGGGGCACTAAGCAATATTGAAAGAAATATAATTTTTAACCTTTTACTCAGACAACAACAACCTTATGTGGAAAGGTACTTTGGATTACAACTTCTTAAAAGCAGCCACTTGGAACTCAATGCAGGATTCTTGTTGCACCAACATACTTCTAAAGTGAATATTCTGCTCCCCTAAAACATCTAACATTAACGGGGGCCTCCATTAACATGGGGCTAAACAGAAGTTTTAAATAAATTCTACATCAGAACAGTTTCACAATGTCCCTGTGAAAGATGTGCTCTGCACCTCACAATGGCCATTATCACGTGATAGCGTCCATCAATTAGCAGACCCCAAAAAGGAAAAGATGGATCTTTTTATCACTTTTTATGATTTTTGGTTTCCCAGTCAATGGAAATGATACAAACAGCTCTAATAGGAATTATTTATCTGTTCTTTCAACTGTTCAGTTGGCTGCTTCAGTAAGCATCAAATAACGACAAACAAGGAGACAAAACTTGTTTTAAATGGAGATATAAAAAAAGCACAAGATTGTCCATTTATGAAACATTTCCAGTATGCACCTATCAGAGACTGAAGCTCATTCTCACACCACTTCCATATTGCATTAAATGCAAGTTTACTGTAATGTTTTGTGATTGCTATAGTGTTAACCAAGTGTTCTGAAATTGTATTGAAAAAACAATCCAAGTTAGACATAACTAAATATCTTTCCATATACATCTCTTATATTTTCATTTAAACTGAAATATCTTAATGTGTAGAAGAATATCTCTGGAACTTTTCTCAAAATTTAGTACAAATTCTGCAATAATAAAACTGTACTTATTTAAGATTTGAGTCATAGGCATTAGGCATGAAAACCATGGTGTCCCTACACTTTAGAACCTAACAACCCTTATTTTCTTTTACAAGCACCACCACCACAAGACATTACAGAGTAACAAGCTCACGCAGTACTTAAATAAAGTGTCTACATTTAATCTCCGCTAAGTACTTGATGGGTAAGTTTATAGGAAAAAATAGCTAAGTCTTAAAAGAGCCCATAACTGGGCTTTGTAAAAATTTTTAAAAACAAATGAAAATAAATAGGATTTAAAACTGATTAGTTATGTATTATTGACTGGAATTCCAATCTCAATGCAGAGCAGTGAAGCCATATCTTAATATGTAGCCAATTTTAAAATATTTAAATAACTTAAAAATGAGAATACTGAAGAAGTCCATTAACATGATGTGGTTTGGGGTTAAACACACAGAGGAGGATGGGAGAGGTGAAAGCATTCCTTGCTTTTAGTGTCAACTAAGCAATGTGTTATGGCAGTCTTCCTTATTGACATGACACAGTGTTGTGGAGAAAATCAGAGGCAGCAAGAAAAGTGTGTTCTACTTTTGATTCCTTCAGTTCAAGATATCACTTAGCATCCAGACGCAACCAATGTAATCCCTGTCGGGTGTAACGCACTAGGTCTGTCATGATGCTCGAATTAAAGATCAGAGGGCCCATAACTTTATCCAGTTCAGCAAAGAACTCTAGAATGACAAGAAAACAAATCAAACTATGCACACACACTCACATTGACTTCCCTTTGGAGAATGTGGTACTGAGGAGGAATCCACCTATGACATACTAACAAATATTACACATCTCTCACAAACAACATCAGGGGAGAGAGAAGAGGTGGAAAGAGGTGAAAATGGTACAGGAATGAAAGGGAAAAAAGGTTTCTTTCCATTTATTGTTTTAGAGACAATTTCCAATAGAAAACTAAACATTTTTGCAATAAAATGATTGATAGGAACAGATGGAAAAGGGTTTGCACTGAAGTTAAACAGTCTCAGAAGTGGTGAGTTCCCTCTCAAACAAATTTGCATATTCATTAAATACATTTTTAGAAATGGAAATCTGAGTCCATCATTGTAAACTGTAAGTTACATCAAGTCCCAAAAATTATATCTGGCTATATATTGCCAGTGTGAGGCTTATTTATACCATTCAGAATCAAGATCATAGGAGAAGTCTGAGATATTACTGAAATTCTAAGGCACTAATAATCCATCTTTCCCTACAGCAAAACACCAGCTGACAAAACATCCCTGGTGTACTATTAGCAGATTCTCTCAATGTGAAAGATCTATTAGCATTTATGGCACAATTCAGCACATTTCATTTTACAGTCAGATTCTGCCAAGTCTTACCTCTTTGCTCTTTAGAAAGCTGTTCAGCTTGGTCCCAAATTTCAGTGGCATAGAGAAAGTTGGATGTAACCTGGACATAGCTGGCTGCCATCTGGTGGATTCTCTGTGGAATAGTCACAGAAGAACTGCTCCCTGAAGGGTTGGTTGCCCCCGAAGAGTAATTCCCTGAATTCCCTGGAGATAGCTTCGGAGATACCGGAGATGGCATACCAACAGGTTTGCTAGTTAAAAAAAAAAAAAAAAAAAGCAAGATTTTTAAAATACAAAATGTAAATATATATGTATTCTGACACATCAAGCTGCATAATGTATTACTCTAGAATTATAATAGTTTGTACTTCTATAGGACCTTCCATCCTTGGATCTCTCTTTACCTACATTTAAGTAAAGAAACCAAGAAGTTTAAGTGACTTGTCCAAGGTCACATGAAGTCTGCATCAGAGCTGGGAACAGCATCCAAAGCTTTGAGTTCTGTGGTTTAATCTTATGACCAAACTTCCTCACCATTTAATTTCATCATTTTATAGAGGAATGTTTAATAAATGTAAGTTAAGGAATGCACTTAAAAGAAACCTCTGAAAAAAATCAGAACCCCAAGAAAGGGCTATATTGCCATACATGTTAGATTTTCAAATTTTTAATAGGTTGAGAAATTTCAAATTTTAGAAGGTTACTTCAGATTTATATGTTCTCTGACTACACAGAACACAGATCAATACATCTAAATACTACTCCGAGGGTTTAAACAATACAAGCAAATTGCTCCCTATGTTTTCCCATGGAGGAGTTGTGTTTTGAATATATTATTGCAAGCTCAAATGGTTCCAGGCCAGGCATTTTAGGAAGTCTATTGTCCTCTTAATGCTGGGTGTGTACGTACGTGTGTACACAGAACCCATTAAAATTAGAGTTGTGTATTAATTCCATACAGGAGGCTACTGCAGTAAGGAGTTATTTAAAATCACGCTTGGAGTGCTTTCAAGGACAGAAGTGTTTTAAAACATTTATCTGAACAATTAAATGAACACATTTAACAGTTCATCCGACACATAGCTGAAGCCTGGATCCTTGCAACAGTACAACTGGCTAATGGGACTTCAGATAAAATTATATAACATGAGTAAACAGTGACTTTATAAACCTTGCATAGGCACTTTATTGTACATAAATTGAGATATAGGAAATAGTTTTCACTTTAATTGTTGAGAGTTTGGTTCTCACAGGAAAGATATCTAGCTAGTTTATCAATCAACCACTGAATTCAGCTCCTGCAGATTATTTTCTTCCATTCCCTGTCCCCACAAGATTTAAAATGTCTAAATCAAGAAGGAAAGTAGTTAAATGTACAAGTTACAAAGCTGCTTACCTTCCCATGCCAGGTGACGGTGCTTGAGAGTTATTATAGGAATTCTGTTTGGGAAAAATAAGTTTGCGGGGTGATTTCCAAGGGCATGTTAATTGCGTATTAAAACAGGTTTTTACAAATGGATACATTTCTTTGTGCCAAGCAAAAGTCTGAACCAGTATGGGAGAATCAAAGCACTTTAAATTTGGACAAAATATTCCATTTTACTGCTGACAAACTAAGGCACCAAGAATTCAAGTGATCTGTCTATGGTACATAGCAAGCCAGAAAGAGAGCTGGGATTAGAACTCAGGTCTCCTACTTAATTCCTTCCACTAACCACTAGACTATTGCCTCTGGTGGCAAGTTTCATATTTTTTCCAATCTTCACCTTTTAACAGCAATGTGAAAGCTGTTAACACTGGCATTGAGCAATTAGACTCTTTCCTCAAAAGACAGAAATTATATTAGCATGCTCTTCTCTTTTTAAAGCTAGGATTTCCAAAGAAGCCTACGAGCTTCCAAATAAGATGCCTAATTCCTATTGGCTCCTTGGAAAATCCCAGCCTAAATTCAGATTAAGCAATCTCATCCGAGTTTTAAATGCCCTGACCGAGTACCTCATCTGGAACAACCTAGATTCAAATAAGTGAGTAAAAGGAGGCTTTTTTTCAGCCTCTGGTAGGAGGCTTAAACCTGATCTAGATTTAAAACAGGTTTTTACTGAAAATTCTAGAAAGTCTCATGGAAGTATATGAAAGTTCAGGCAAGCTGGCTAAGAGCACTGTCTTTGGAACTTTGGTAAAGCTGTTAGATGAGCTAAAAATTATTTACTCAAAACACCAACTTCTGCAAATGTTGGAGAGCTGCAGTCATAAAATGTACCACTAGAAACAGAATTCCCTTAAGATCATACATGAAAGTGAAGGTTCAACTTTGTAATGTCTGCAGCCAGGAAGATGTACTTTTTATCCTCTCTAAAGGATAAACAATTCAGCAGATTTCAAAGCAGACAAAAGCTAGCTGAAATTATTATAAATGGAAAACTATTACACTAAGACCAGTAGGGTTATGACAACATTGTGGTCATGCTGCAGTAACAAAAAGAGTTCTAAAACACTGAACATGAGTTTACTTTAAGGGCCACATTTCCAGATAGGGGCATATCAAAGTACACGTGTAAGAGAAATCAGGAGAGTACCTTGGAATTTCCTTTTTTCTCTTTTTTTTTTTTTTAGAACTATCTCAGTAATATAGTAACTTTTTACCTTTAGATGTTCTGTCAGTGTTTTAGAGTATTTCAATGCACTCTCCTTCTTCAGCTTGAAAAGCCTTAAATATAACAGGGACTGGCATCGAAGACTGGGCAAAAAAAATGGCAACACGTTTAACAATGAGTGTGTGCTTACACAGTTCAATAATGCAAGTAAACAGCTAGCACCTGTGTGTTTTTCTAACACTCTCTGAGGTATGGAGTTGTAGTTTTGCCATCAATAGTAACAATGTTTAATTAGCCAGGGAAACTAAAGATAGTCTAAGCTTGAGCACAAGACTTCAGATATACACTTTTCACTGTCTTTACTTACATAACCAGAGTCTTGCTCACTGAATTGAGAATATAACTCTAAATCATCTCCTAGACTAGCAAATAAATTAAGCCCATTACACCAGGTTGTGCTGATACAACATGCAGAGTCTGACATCATATTTCCACCCCTCACACAACATCAAACTGATTCCTGTCTTCTCTGCACTCAGGAGCCTGAAGAATTTGGAGCGTTAGTAAGGTGATTTGTTGACATATACCCCAAGCTAACTAATCAGTAGGTGAGCACAAGATCTTTGGGCTCCCCATGTCTTCTACTGCTGCTTCTTTCAACCCTACGGGTCAGCGTGCAGTTCAGTGTCAAGGCCACCTTTACAAAGCAGAGGCTAAAATCAGTGCTATAGCACCTTTATCTCTTAAGCAATAAACGTTGATATTCCTGTTTCCAGAAGAATCACTACATTATTTAATACAACCACTATGCTTTATGGAATATTTAGCTTTCAGAAAAAGAGATACAATGGCAGAGAAATATACATTTAACTTGACAGCAACACTGTCAATTTCTCATAACAGGAAAACTCCACATCCACGTTAAGTGTGAGCATGGAAGCAGAGCTACAGACACACTGATGCTGCAGCTTTAGTAACGTAGTCTAACTCTACTCAAAAATTCACGAGCACATAATAAGTAGTCCAAAAAACTGTCTGTTTTAACCACACATGCCTTTAATATTAAGCTTGTCATATCTATAGATCAGTCTTTTCACATTGCGTCCCTCTTATACCGGTCCACCCCCCGCAACCCAGGAGCCACAGTCAGGAGCAGGGCTGTGGCTTCCAGAGACATGGGCAGCAGTACGGGACGGAGGCTGGGGCTGGAACCACAGCTGGGCTGGGTGCCAGGAGCCAGGCAGCACTCCCTCCCAGGCCCCCATTGAGGCTGGCCTGGACAGACCCCACTGCTCCTCCCTAAAATGTTCCTCCATGCCCCCCTAGGAGAGCGCACCCAACAGTTTGGGGACCACTGCCATAGATGGATCAGACATGACAAGGAAATCGGACTCCCATCAAAAGTATTAGCTGACTGCTCACCTTTCACTAAGTTGATAAGTGAGAAAGAAGAACAGGTTCTTGGCACTACTGACATCACTTTAGTGATAAAACCTAAACTAAACTTTTTTTTTTGTCCTAAATGTATCCTTTTTATTCCCTCAATATTCAAATACACAGGAACGTTAATACCAGACATGAAAGGGAGAAGCTATGCTGGCTCTCATTATCTCAGGTAGTGGTCCCCAAACTTTTTACCTTGTGCCTTCCCTTAACCCATCTGCACACCCTTGGCCCCGGAGCCGGGACCAGAAGTGAGGCTCCAGCTCTGGGGGCCATAGCTGGGAGGGGAGGCAGGAGTGGAGCCTCGGCCAAGGGCCGTGACCAGGCAGCTGGGGCCAGCAGCCAGGGCCGGGAGCAGAGCTGGATGGCGCTCCCTCCCAACGCGGGCTGGCCCCGGCCCCAGCTGAGTCCCTCAGAACGTTCCTCCACACCCCCCGATTCTAAGGTTCCATGAAAACCTCAAATACCTTGGAGCACTGAACTTACAAATTCAGTTAAAAACGAAATAGTTAAAAATACCACTGTAAGTAACCTTTGGACACAGTGCACTCACTAATTTGACTCAAGATGTTTTACTACACCAAAATGTACGAACCAAAGCACTGCTAGCCTTTTATCTGCAGCCGTAGCATCTGGTGCCAAATAATTTTTCAGTTTCATAGTGTATCTGCAAACAAAGACATCAAGTAAATGTCAAATAAAATAAAGCGTGATGTTATTTATCAGTTGCCATTTCTCATTTAATATTCTTTTAAGAAAACTATTAAGGCTTAGTTCCAGCTGCCCTCATATTTTACCAGAGATCCATAGAGGATTTACTCAAAAGTCTGGATGAGGAAAGTTTTGGAACGTTTTTTGTTTTTATGTTACAATTTGCACTAATATTAAGACTCTTAGATGAAAGGATTTAAAAGTCCTTTTAAAAAAACAACAACGTTAAGCCTCAAAATATGGATAAGGTGGGTAAATATTTTACAGATGAGAGATTGCAAGTATTGGTGGCAAAATCAAGAATAGAATCAGGGCACCTGCTCCCATTTCCCCAGCTCTGATCACTAGGCTTCACTTACTACTTGCTTTATAAAGCTTACTTGATTAATTCCACAGTTTCTGAATACATAGGGAACGGGGACTTGGATTCCTGAGCATTTTTCTCCAATGCATTCCCACATTCGATGAAAGACACTACAGCATCAAGATACAAAACAGCTTTCTCAAACCTGTCAGACTGAAGAGAATGAAACTTTAAAAACAAAAATATAGAGAAGTGGGAGAGAATTACAGCACTAGAGAAGAGTACAGGTTCAGAAGAGTTAAACCAACCTAACCTTATGTGCAACCACCTGATAGATGTTTTGGGTTCTACTTACCAATGCATCTGCATTGTGCTTTAACTTCTTTGCTTCTTGTAAATAATGATCAGCCGAGTACATCCTGCAAACAAACAGAAATTCTGAGTTTAATAAGATAAAAATTGAATCCCTTTCTGTGTGTCAAGCTTTATAACTATGGGATCTTTTGACATTGCTTATTCTTCCTTCCTCAAGTTACAGCACATATAATTTTTATCATAAAGACCTTTCGACAGTTAAATTTAGTTACTTCGGTTACTTCCAACTATTGTTTTAAGACCGCTAAGAGTCACTGGATTTAGCCAACTTATTCCACATTCCCTAGCCAAGCAAATCAGACATGTTAGCAAAGGTGTGAGCTATCTGACATGTCCTAGTGCAGAGCTCCCAGCCTGCAGATCAAAGAATAGTATTAACCAGATACGAAACTTTCAAAAGAAATCAAGACATGTTCAGATGGAGATTCCATTGTTATTTTTGAAGTTAGGTCACAGAAGCTGATTGTGGTATATGGCTCCATGTCCTAAAGCAAGCTCCAAAGAATAATTACAAGAGATCTTGAATTTTCTATTTTACTGTATTAAATGCTGTATTTGCAAGGTCATTGTCTAAAATCTGAATGAGACTGTCCAAACATGCAAATAGTTGGAGTTAATCATTCCCCTATTTCACCACAACATGAAGTACTGGGCACACCTGATTTCATTTAAAGTCAGTGTTTTATAACAGTTTATTTAAAAGTGAATCATACTCTCCTTTCTTAGAGGCACGAGTTGACACTATACAAGGAAAAAACATTTTTAAAAATCAGTTTACTGTAATGTAAAACCACAAATACTAAAATGCCTAATTATAATTATATGGTTATTGCATGGGTGTCACTGCAGAGCATAGTCAAAGCCACCCAGGTGCCCTAATTATGCATTTCCGTACCTTAATATATTTGGATTTCTTTTAAGTTTATCCTGAACTCAATTTCCTGGCTTTAACATATTTGGCTTGTGGATAACTATAACTTGCCTCTAACTACACATACGTGCTCCGAACTTCAACTCCATCATAACTTGATTTTGTCTGGCAATACATAGCAGAAGAAAAGCAAACCACTCCCATAATCAGGTTGTTTGCATATAGTCCTTTATGTTGGCCCCTAAAAGTACTTAATCCAGAAAGCAATAATTTTAAATCAACCTGGAATTAGCTGATAAAACTAGAACTGAGCCCCTGTCAAGAACACCCAAGAACTGCATGAAATATTTCATGAATGGATAATCTTGATGTGAATTTGGGATCATTTTTTACTGATTCACATTCTCCAAAATTTTTCAACTTTGATAATACAAGAACAAATGATTCCATGTTCCCACTTTTGTGAATCAGCAATTCCAGAGGCAGAGGATCCTCTCAATGACTGAGAGCAGTCACTGACCCAGGAGGTCAGGAGGGGAAGCCAACTCAGCCCAAAGAGGACAGGCAGACTGGTCTGGTGGAACGTGAAGTGAGTCTGCAGAAAGGGAGATAGTATTTCTTAAAAATGGACACAGGACAATCACATACTGTCAGAGTCCACTGCTTGCTTGTTTCAGGCTGAATACGAATACACAAAGGAGGCTATGGCTCCTGGTAGTGGTTGAGACGTCTGCCAAAATTAGTGATACATGTGTCAGGCAGGCATACAATTACATGAACAGCTTGCAGGTCTCCAGAGAATAGTACTGTACATGCATGACAAAGAACATCCCCTATACATAGGAAGCTACTATACATTTTACAAGTTACACACTGAAATTAGTGCCCTGTTTAGGGAAGAGGAAATGTAATGTGCATGGCAACTCTCACTGCTCTCACCTGTCATCAAAAACAAGCTTTGCTCTTCGGGACTTTGAGCTGTCTGTAGCTGGGGTAGATGCAGGAGGGCAGTTTGATGAACTGTTTAGAACCTTTTCCTGAGAAGAAAAAAATTGCCACAATTAGTAATTATAAAAGCAGTTAGAAATCTGTTTTAAAAAGAAATGATTGTTCATTGCTTAAGTTCCTCCTGGTGGTCTCACACTTGTTAAATGCAAACTAGGTCAGCTTTGCAGCAGGTTAATTGCCATTCACATTTACCACTTATACATCATGACTTACAAAGGCTTCTCTCCTCATTGGTGCTACAACATATGTTGGGGGTGGAGCCAGACCAAGGATCAAGGAACCCTACCAGCTCCCTTACAAGCCCCCCCACTCTGATGGGCTAAATGGATCTCCTCTAGAACAAATCTGACAAAAGGTTTCAGGCACAACTGAATGCCCCTCCTCAATTTAGTAATGGCTAACATTCATGTTTTTACTCTCCTTCTAGAAGAGGTGCTGCATGTATTTTCTGCTTTTCTATTCCTTTTAGAAGAATCAACTCTGTAGCATGATTTTTGCTTTAATATTTCGGAAGTGGAGTGATCATTCTATTTTTCAAGCATTCAAAATGTGCAAGAAGCCTTCACAAAGAGACATGGCTCCTGCCCCCCAAAATCATACAACTTCAGCTCAACATGACATAGTAAGTGAGAGAGAAGGTGGGTGGAGTAATCTTGTATTTGACCAACTTCTGTTGGTAAGAGACAAACTTTCAAGTGCTTCAAAAAAACCAGCAATATATAATCTCCCTTCACCCACCACCAAAATGCAGCCACTTCAGAACAGAAATACAGCCAGCTGCAGCAAATGTTCAGTGGCACATAAGACTCTACTAATTTAAGACAGGAATTAAAACCAAATTAAACTATAAGGAGATAGTAATTACCAAATTAAAAAAAAATGGTCAGACTTGGCTCAGTGTTAATGCAGAGGAAAAAAAAGATGCCAGTAAATCTACAATATAATCCCCTATAGGCTCCTTGGAAGCCTCCCATGCATGCACTGACTAGACCAACCCTGCCTGCCTTACAAAATCTGATGAAATCAGCATCTGAGGTGGATGTCTGAGCTCCTAGTTTAGATATTTCACTCGTTTGCTATTCTTGACCACCAAGTTACATTTTTCTCAGTTCCTGTCTATTTGTTGTTTCAATCTGCACACTTGGCTGTTATGATTAGTTCCTCTGACTTTGCTTCAAACATTACTGAGGTTAGCAATTTAGAAGATTTGCCAAGTACTGCAACATACCAATTACATCCCTAATGCCTCATTAGCCTTTGAGCTTCTGTTTGCTGCAGAGGCCTCAAGACAAGATGGCACCAATACGCTACAATGCAATCCAGACCCTGTGAATTATAGTCACATTTTGCCTTTGACATATTACGTTCTTGCCAACTGATAGTACAGCAGTCAGTGAGAACTGCTTATCATACAGCTAGGTTTAATACCACCATGTTTTATCAGACATCCTCAGATGTTATGCACCATGCAATAGTATCCATTTATATAGGTGAGAGCAGGCAGAATCCCTAATTCCCTCTCCACACATACACACACAGAGACACAGTGTAATGCCACAAGAACTCAGTTTTTGCACAAGAATCTGCAATTTAGCAAACCTGAACTTCCTCCCAACCTATTAGTTTCTAGAGATTTTTCTTTGCAAAATCTCCTGTCCCACTCCATCTTCTCCCCCAACTCAAACATAAACCTTTTTATTCTCCTGATGGCAGCTAATCAGATCACCTGGCTTCCACACCAGATGAAGTCAGCAGACTAGCTCTGTAGCACTGTGAAGAGTCCTTCCCTGAAACACACCCTCGGGGGTCAGGGAGAGGAGGATTGAACTGTCTTTTCCTTTATAGTCAGGATATACAATCTGCTAAAACCAAAATTGGCTCAATTATTTAACTGCATAAAAAATCATATCATATTGTTCCCCTATTTTACTTTTATATAAACAACTCTGAAAAATGTCACTGGAATCAAATTAAATGATTAATAAGCAACCTCTATAGTTAGAAGAGCACTAATCACATTTGTAAATTTAAGATTAGTACCAACCTACCCCCAGGATACTATGAATCTAATGAATAGCTACTGAGTTATTTTCCATTTACAGGCTTCCTTATGACCCAATTACTTGTGCACTACCACAGGGAGTAAACACCTTTAAAAACTAAATTACATTTAAGTTTAAAGTCAAAGCCTGACAAATTATTGCTTGGATTACACATTGACATGCCAGATTGCACACAGAGAAACAGTGAATATTAGAGGAAAGCATTTACAGAATAAATTCCTTACCTTGACTTCCTTGGCATTGCTAGAAGCCTTCCCTTCTGTCTTTTTTTGTTTGGAAGATGAGTTACTTTTACTGCTGCTGCTACTCTCCTTATTACTGTTGCTGCTTGATTTTAAGGAAGAAGATTGACTGACTGTTCTCTTCCGGGACCCATGATCTTGCTTGGGATCTTTCTGAAGGACAGGGGCCGCAGGAGAAGGGAGTAGGTCCTTCTCTTTACCTGCACTTTGCTTTGAAGACCTGCACAAAGTGAATAAGTACAGCTTATTTTCAGATACAGTGACAAGAATTATTTTTACCTAACATGACTGTATATGGGAATATTTATTTTTCACCTAATTTTTAATAACTGGCTTTTGGGCGAACCAGATTGAGCTTGTTTTTACCATCTGATCTTGTTCTGACTTGAAAAGGCAGCAGATTCTAGCCAGAAAACCACTTTTGTTCAACAAAACAAAACCCAACCTGTAAAGTTAATGCCAATGTTTGTGCCAACCTGTCTATAGCACTGTTATGGTGGAGACTTTGTTCTGAATGTCTAGACTAAGATGGTATAGGCATGTATTCTATTTGCCCAACCACAAGGTAAAACTACCCTTAATTCAGTCATCCAGTAAATATGTATCACCTCCCCGCCTTGACTGTTTAAGGACTATTGTTGGCAATCAATGGCAAGCCTCGTGCTTGCTAGCCCATCTTCCAGTTGGGAAGATCAGGCATTTGGACAGCTATTTGCACATTAATTGCTCAAAGAAAAATTAAACACTTTTCATACCATTAATACAAAGAACATTTGGTTCCTTGCTGACAGAAGACAAATATCAGAGTAAGAATAAATTTAACAGTCCCAGCAGAGGAATCTGCAAATCAGTTTTACAGAGGCTCTGAAAAATCTTAATATTCATAACAGAACACAATGAAATTGAGTGTTACCCTGTGGTATGCAGTATTATTGTACCGTGTTGGTTCCAGAATATCAGAGACACAAGGTGGGTGAGGTAATATTTTCTAATGGTCCAATCAAAGGTATTACCTGACCTACCTTGTCTCTCTGTTACACTGTGGTAATTCAGAGTGGCCAAACAGGTTTCTTCAGATTATTCATTACAGTGGAATATGTGATCCAGTGCATAGTTATATATTTTTATTGTGTAATCTGAAGTAGCACATATTTTTAAGGAGTTGGAAAGAAAATCCACAAAAATGAACTTGCTACTGATTAAAAGTACACTAAGAACCTTGCTAATTTGCACTTTGACTCATTGAAAAATTAATTGTATGTGTGAATAAGATTGGAAGGCTTGTATTTTGCCAATTGTAGATTAGAACTAATCTATGGTGATCACAAATATAAATGTGGCCAATTTTTTTTTTTTAAAACAAATCTTTTTTTTTTTTTTTTTTTTTTTTTACACAAATGATCCAGTAGTTGAAGCATGGGAGAAGAAGAAGTCAAGAGACCTGAGTTCTAATCCTGACGAATCACTGGCCTTTCTGCGTAATTTGGAAAAAAAAATTTAAATCTTCTTGGTGCTGCAGTTTCCACATCTGCTGAATGGAGAATTAATCGCCCATTTTGCAAGGGGTGGATTAATTTGTGAGCGTGGTTAGGTGAAGTGCAGATTTGCTAAGTCTTACATATGTTAGTGTTATGCAGCTCACCTATTTTTAAACACTGCCCTGTGTTAAGGTAAAAATTAGGGAAAATTAGTCCCAGCAGGAAATAAACCCAGCCTGTTCCAACTCTTTATCAAAGGTAAATGCCCTTTGAACTAACTATTTTGTAATAATGAATTAAAGTTGTTAAATAATCCAACTGTTCTTTGTTAGGAGTGAACAGTGTCCCAGCGTGCCTGGTTCTGGGAAATACCAGCATACCGATTAGTTACTGTGAAAACCCCAAAGTCAAGGTAAAAGGGCAGAGTCTGAAGAGTGCTTGCACATGAAAGCTTACCCAGTGAGATGCAAACTGATTTTTTCCTTTGTAAATGGTGGCAAGCAGATACTTAGGGGGAGATTTTTAAGTACATATAGGGTGTTGCATGCCAATCTTCCCCTTAATGTATGCCAAGCCTTATAGACTTAAAACACAGCCAATTCTCCCCCTGCACTTACTCTCTATTGCTGGAGGTCTTGTGACCTGATGAAGACTTTTCTTCCAGTTTAGTTTTCTTGCCTTCACTGGCTCTGTTTTCGTCATCATTCTGAATAAAAGCAAGCACAAGAGAGCTATCAGGACAAAGTTTGATATTTACAGGTTAACCGTCCCTCATAATGTTTTATATTTGTTAAGACAATTTAGCAAACCTTTTACAACATATAGAACAGTAACACTACAGCAGATCTGAAAATAATTTCCTAAGGCATGGAGCCCATGCCTTAAGATAGTTGACCACAATGGAATTACTTGTCCCAAACAGAAGGCAGTAGTGTGTAGTGAATGGCAAATGATCTACCAGTAGAACCAGGAGTGAAATGTGGCTGCTGAAATTACTGAACTACTTAAAATATAAAACAAAAAAAATCTGGCTGAAATAAACTAGGTTAAGACAATCTACACCTCATTATTCTGATATATGAAGGTCTCCCAATAAGAGTAAGAAATTAATTTGGTTTTTAGTCAGACTATAGGGGATTAAAAAAAGCACTTTTTAAAAAAGCTTCATTAAACATTTGTCAGTATTACTTTTGATAACAGAGTTAATGCTTCATAAAATAGTGGACTGTAAAATCAAAAGGTTTTGAAAGTGAATTTCTAAACTACCTACACACTTTCATTAATCTTCAAATCTATCATACGCAGCAGAAGCAGAAAAACAAGCGTAAAATAATAATTCTAATGAACTAAGCTCAAGAATAGGGTCCAATTAATAAATCTTACTGTAATGCAATCCAGTAATAGAATGCTCTTTGGCTACGAACAGCTATAACCCAGCACCCAAAGATCAACAAAACATGTAAGCAACTGACATTCATCAGCTGTTGGATTTCTGAAGTGATTGTTGCAGAATTTCTCACACAGCCTGCCTCAGTATTTTGGGGTAGGCCTGAAAAATAGTTTGCCTCTCCCACTTGCCTCAGAAACACACTCATGTCCACCGTGACTGCACCACTAGGCATAGGGATGGTCTCAGGACTTGGAGGTAATTAGTGAGATTTGGGATACAGCCCAAGTTTAATTGGTCCCACCAAAGCCTTCTGTTCCTGATGTAGGAGCACAGCTCTTTATGCTGGTTTCTGTCCATAACAGCCACCTTTTTTGTTATATTGTTTTGCAAGGAACAACTGGCCAAATAAGAGGGGGGCCATTAGGTTTAAAGCTACTAGAGACTGAGTGCATTCAAGTGAGTGCTAGAACTTGTATAGTAGTGCTATAAAAACACCAAAGAACAACATCCTTGTAAAGTAGGTATTATCCCCATTTTTCAGACAAGAATCCTTTCCCCCTTAGTTTCATTGCTTGATGCAGGGCAAAGAGGTAATTTGAGCTGGAATAAGAATGGAGGAATCCATTTGTTTTCAGTCTCATGACAAGTTCACCAGACCATACTGCTTCTCACTCCAGGAGTGGCTGGAGATCATTTCTTGGTTGCTCAGCAGGGAAGCTGGCACAGTCGAAGGCAACTGTTTGGAAGGGAGCTTGCAGCAGCCTTTATGCCACCAGTGCCCCTTTGATATTGTGACGAATTGGGAGATATCTACATTATTCTTACATTATGTTTGACTTTGTTTCCTTATTCTATTTTCTACTGCTGCCCACTTGAAGTCAAAGAGCTGAGTCAGACCAGAGATAAGACAGAAAACTGCATGTACATGCCTTCGGAGCAGTTGAGAGAATAATGGGGCTATTGTTGGTATATGCTAAATATCAAGAGACATTGAATTGTTAAAAGATGCCCCTGGCAGAAAGGGGGTGTAAGTGGTCAGCATGTCCTGAAGCTGACACACACCTGGAAGAGAGGTAGGAGCAGGCACATTCCCTCAACAGGGCCTAGGCCAGGAGTAGTTAAGAATATGTCTACACTGTAAATGGGAGTGAACTTCCCAGCCTGGGCAGAAAGACTTGTGCTAGCTCAACTCGAACTAGCATGCTAAAAACAGAAGCGTGGATGTTATGGCTCCGGACAGGAGTAGTGGAAGTGCCCTGAAAGTGGGTGAGGTGGGGGTGGGGGGAGAGAGGAGGCAAAGACGCCCTCTGGGATTCTGAGAGGAGAGAGGGTAACAGAGCCAAGGCTCCAACCTGAGCCTGAACGTCTACACCACAGTTAAACAGCCCCATAGCTTGATCCCTGTGAGCCTAAATCAGCTGACAAAGGCCAGCTTGCTGTGTTTAACTGCAGTGTAGACATTCCCTTATGGCTCCAAATCAGGGCTTCTCAGTCCCCAAGGCCATGGATGATTTCACAGAATTGCAGGAATCACACATGGATGAAAACCCAATAAATCATTCAGTCCACTCTCCTATCAAGGATCCCTGCATTTTCCTAATAATTGAAAACATTACCAGGCAAAGGTCAGCATAATAGAGTTTTTGACAATCGGATGATTGAAACGTTAGTGCCAGTGCTGGTGGCAATAAGAAAAGGCTACCTACCCAACAATTCCACAAGAGTCTGAATTTCCCAGCATAAATTTCATCGTGAGCAATGAGAGTTACAATGCCAACCAGCTCTCACACAAACTCCAGTTCTCCCCCACCCACCCTGAAAGTCCCAGGAACCCAGAAGCCAGACAGATTCCCTTGCCACTGAGCTATCCATCTCACCTCAGTAGTTAGCCATCAAGAGATGGAGACTAGATAAGTTTTCAATTGATCACTTACCTTATGCTTCCTTTTGCCCTTGGTGGAATTTTTGTCTGAGACTGGTTTTTGGGACTCTCTTGTATGCTTCTCTGGTACATTTTTCTTCTCCACTTTGGGTGGGTCTGTGTCCTTGTAAGGCTTCCCTGGTATTCTTGATAAGAGGCTCAGGTCGATCTTCACAATAAGTGGGTATCGTTCATCTGGATCACTGAGTGGTGAAAGAAGTTCCTTCTCTTCCATAGGAGAGAACATTCTTTGCCGAAAAAAGCTGTCATCCTCCTCCATGGAAGATTTAACAGGAGTCCTATTGCTCTCAGAGTATTTGGGAGTTTGTGATGAAGGAGGCAGGCTCTCGTTTTCATCAGAATCAGAGGATGAGGTATCTGTTTCTATGAATTCCCTGGATTTCTGGGAAGGTTTGCTTGAAGCCTTATATTTCTTTTTCTCTGCTGTAGGCCGAGGAGAAGATTTGGGCTCCTTCTTTATGTTGGGTTTTCTAGAGCCCTTTGTGGCTGCCTTATGCCTGTTTGAGGGCATATTTGTTACCATGTCTACTGGGGTTTCGCTTTCTATTTTAAGCCCTCCTCTGGGCTCTTCAATAGCTGCCTTCTCTGCCTTCTTGGGCTGCTTTTTACCAACAGTCCTCCTCTGTATTGTGCTATCACTCTGTGCAGGTGACTTCTGCCTGCCACGACTGCTCTCCGATCCTTTTTGGGTGGTTTTGGAATCTCGCACAGGAGTGGAGGAAATGGATTCCTTAGACACACTTTGATCCGTATACCCATTCCCGGAGCTCTGATCTCGGCCATCTTTTTTGTAGCCTTGTGAAGATGGGATATTACTTTCCACAGAAGAAGCTGGTGACACTTTATGCGGATTCACTTTGTTCAACCAGTTGTCTAGTTGCCATTTGTTTGTTGGGGGTGGCTCAGGCTAAAAAAAGAGGGAGGAGTATTAAACACTATATATTTTCTTGCCCCATTTCACTCCAAAGGCTTCAATATTGTGTTGTACACCAAGGTAACAGCTATGCAGAAAGCAGACTGTGCTAATGAACAAAGTATGATGTGTTGGAATACAGTGTGGAAGCCACACATCTTATGCCTTCACAGAGCCTTGACAAACAATTGCTGGCAGAGGATGAGAGGCGCTACAGCGGATGCTGTTGGCCCAAGCACAGCATCATGGTGTGACCCAAAACGTTGTGCCATATCACAGTTACATCAATGACTAAATGGAAGTTAGTGCATAACATGCTTTAAGCTACTTTTTTCATTGTTGTAGTATTACTGTATAAGCATGTCTGACTCCCAAGCTTTCAGAGCCAAGTGGCACGAAGTACATGTCAAAGCCAAGTGCTAAATGTGTTTGTTTTTTTAAACAGTTCATTTAAAGAATCTGATAAACTGCCGCTGAAAATCATTCAAAAAGGTTTGTCAATTTTATGCTTTATTTAGCATCTTCTCAAACTATCGCTCTGTTCTTAACAGTCAAGATTGATGTGAAGATCATGGTACTCAGGGATTATTGTAGATGGATTATAACTCAAACCAGATATCAAAGCCTACCTCTGGAGATGCACTCTGGGATGGCTCATTAGCCTCACTGTCACTGGAACTACTTTCACTTTCAGAGTCAGATCCAGAACTGCTTTCAGATCCACTATGGCTGCTTGAGTCATCCCTGGAATTATCTGCTCCTTCACTATTATGCTGTGAAGGTTCAGAATTACTGGGGAAAGACAAAAAAGTAAAATAATCAAGACTATGTAATACACGCAAGTTTCACATAATTCTTTTTTGCAACAGAAAAATTAAGGTTTTGACGTCTTAATTATCCAGCAGAAAATTCTACATAATTGAGTACAGCAAATAGACTGGAAAATTACTTATCTAAACAATTGTGGCTTTATTTTTCAAGCTGTTAAGTATCTACATGTTGGAGGAGAAAAGCTGTTTAACCAATTATCAAGTTCTAATCACTTCTTGGGTTAGCACAAGCCAGATGTCTACAGTGTCAGACATGGATTTTTAGAGCAGTCAGATCAAATTAGGAAAACTCATCTGCTCAAGTGTCGTTACGTCATTTGCTGTGAACTGCTAAAAATCAACTATAAATGCTTACCTTCCAGGTGTACTCCTTGGCACTATCTTATCAGAATCCTGTAATTAAAAAAAATAATAATAAAACCAGGGTGAGGAAGAAGCTTCCATAAATTACATTATGTATTGTGTACTGCATGGAGACGAAAACAAAAATAGAGCTCTAATGCTCCTTCCTCATCACCAACACCACACACATTTAGCATATATAGCACCTCTCATCTGAACACACTGGAGTAGTTTACAAAATTGCATATTATCCTCAGAGAGGGAAACAGACAGATTAAATTATTTGGCCAAGTTCACACAGCAAACAAGTAGCAAAGTCAAAGAACTATTATCTCCCCAGAGTCCTATACAGCCTACTATGGTTTTAAGAGTTCCAATTCCTCCCTACTCATTGCCCTGTGTCATTCATCTTTGTGTGTGACGACTGGTCACAACTTGGGTCTATCAGGGTTATTCCTCAATAGCCCAAAGTGGTTGATGTTAAGCAACGAAAGGCCCTATTTCCGTGCTCCTAGCGATTGTGCAAAATCCCTCAACAGCATTATCCTGATTTAAAAAAAAAAAAAAAAAAAAAACAAGACTGGGATTGGAAACTAAAACAGAAAATGACCCTGGGATACTAAATGGCAGTGCAGACAACCATGCCATCTAGGTTCCCGAAAGGGCTATTTTTAAAATTATATAAGATCAGTGCCAAAGATAGGACAATTTGTATTACAGAGAGTTAATATCCACTAAGGGAGAATCCAGTTTCCCAACTAGAGTGAAGATGCTACTGTAGAAGTAGTAACAGAAAAAGGAAATTTGGTGGGAGTGTTCACATACATTAGACAACCAATCCCAATCCTGAAGTTACTGGTGTGTGGAAAAATTTATGCCACGTATTATTTTGAAGATGTGCTATGTCCTTAAATGGCAGGCCACCACATGTGAGGGGAAAAAAATCAATCCTGAAAATGTCTCCTTGTCACTAAGAGTTTATACTTCTTGAGTACATTCTGTTCCATTTTATGTTGGGGAAAAGGCAATATGAAATTGCTACACAGTGAGATTTGGAAGTCTAAAGGCAAAACTGGAAGCAAGGACTCAAACAAACAGTGATTATATATTCCAAAAAGTAGTTCTACTGTACTGCTACACAGTTACTTTGAAAAATCTTGCTTTTTAATTAATGCTTACTGACAAGTGTTCAATTTACAACCAGCCAAGCACTGCAGGTTTTTAAAAAAGAAACTTAGTATTGAACACTTCAGTTGTGTCTGCTGAACTTTTCTAAAACTTTAATACTTATGGTACATACCTGTTCACCATCACTGTCTTCACTGCTGCTGAGTTTTAAGTCATCTTTCAACATACTGAATGAAAGAAAGAGGAATAAATTTTTCATATACTCTAGAAATTAATTCCAAAGTGGTGTTAGGCTATAAACTGATCTAAAATGTTACTAGGAATTTTCCTTTGTTTACAGAGTTCATTGCGTGTGGGAGCACACAGAACTCAATACTAAAATGTTCAATGCTTAAGTATAAGAATCCTTTATACAAAAATATTGCGTGTCACGTTTTAGTGTGAAAGGAGAAGCGACCACTTATACGATTACCTTCTTGCATGCAAATGATTAAGAGTATTGTTTAAATAGAATTAAGGAGGCTAGAGAGTGACACTTAGAATTCTGACATTTTATTTCACTGCTGTCACAAAAGCTGTTTCAATATACATATTTAAATCTATTTCACAATCCTAGCATAATGTCTGAATACTGGAAAGACATACATTAATTAGGTTTCAGAGTAGCAGCCGTGTTAAGTCTGTATTCGCAAAAAGAAAAGGAGTATTTGTGGCACCTTAGAGACTAACAAATTTGAGCATAAGATGCATCCTACTTCATCAGATGCATCCGATGAAGTGAGCTGTAGCTCACGAAAGCTCATGCTCAAATAAATTTGTTAGTCTCTAAGGTGCCACAAGTACTCCTTTTCTTTTTGAGAATACATTCATTAGGGTTTTTATCATCTTTTGTTTTATTTTTGCTATTAAAGGCTTTAGTGTATATAAAAACAGTATCTTACTCTGTTTGGTTTGATTCACATCTGGAGGAAGAAAATGAGAAAGTTAAAAAATAAGTTTCCCATGCAGGTACTTTCGCAGTATGGCTGTTTTAATGAAATTCCTAACATCTTGGGTCTACTCCCCAACATATCTTTTCCCCCAAAAAAGGTCATTTAATGTTTGTCTCCCTAAAGGAACAAGTTTACTGACTACACAAAGTGCAATCTTGCCCTATCATTTTATTTAAGGCAGTATAAATTCATTGCAATAAACTCTCAAGCTCTCACCCACACCTGAATCTAATGGGGGTTTCCAGTAATTGTCCACAGATCTCCTCAGAGTCCCCAGTTGCAGAAATTGCTCCAATTCCCCCACAGGTAATTTTTGCACCCACCAAAAATACCAGCCCCAACCATAAGTATAGCATTGTTGAAATACTACTATGACAAAAGAGCAAAGGAAAAATTAAGGGTGTAATCCTTCTGTTATTATCTCTTACACTTAATGCGGGTAAGCATCTTTTTTAAAAGCAACTGTGTAAAGAGGCTGTGTTCGAAGTCATATCTAGTCACAGAGACAACAGCAGGTTTTTCAGAGGGGTAGAGAGTTACTGCTTTTCTACTCCTGTTAGCACTGTGAAGCCTGGACAGGCAGGGGAGAAAGAACTGGGTTTTATTTCTGCTTACACAGTAAAACAACTGCTAATTGAAGACTTTGAAACTGAACTGGTATAACTGAGGGCAAAACTTGTTTTGCAGAATGTTATTTATTGGAGAGAATGCATAAGCAACAAGTCCAGGTCAACTCTAAGAGCTCAGCTTTGCAGGACTGGTAGATAAAGGCATATTTGTAAACTGATCAAATTTGACATGGCTGTCACAGTAATAGAATCCTACAGAACCCCACAATTTTTTAAAAAAACCTAACGTTTCTGGACATAAACGCACTTTAATTACATATATTACTCCTGGAGGAATTCTCCACCACTGCGCAATACAGAATTTCGCAGAAAGTAACGTTGTGCATGCAGAATTTCCTTTGCCCCACAGAAATGGGCTGCAGTGCTGCTAGCTGCCACTAGGGGCTGCTGGACCCAGCAGAGCCCAGCCCACACACAGAAGACACTGCTGGGGAGTTGGAAGCTAGAGGGTTCCTGGCAGCTGCAGTTCCCAGCTAGCCCTGAGGGAAGGAGAGGGCAGCGCGCAGGAAACTGTGGAAACCTGGGACCGAGCATCAGGCTGTTTTTCCCCTCTGGATCCCTAGGCTGGGGGGAGGAGTGGGGGTGCGTAAAAGAGGGCGTGCAGCTATCTGGGCTGGGGGTGCTCCATGGCTGGGCTCTGGGGAGGAGAGGTTGTAGGTATCTGGGCAAGGAGAGCCCTGTGGCTGGGCTCTGGGGGAACAGGGGATTCATATGTATTGGCTGGGCGGCCCCTGTGGCTTGGTTCAGAGAGGAAGGGGTCAGAGAAACAGGAACTGGGTTGTCATAGGGATTTCTTTAACTCTACTCCTGGGGGAGGGAGAGGGAGAGGGAGAGAGTGTGTGTGTATTGTTACAGGCATACTTGCTGACAGGGTATTTTGAAATAAATTACCAAAATAAATGAAACTGGAGTGATTATGTAGTGTTATTTTGACAAATATAAATTTTCAGAATTTTGCAAAATTTTAAAATATTGTGCACAGAATTTTTAATTCTTTGGCACAGAATGCCCCCAAGAGTAACATACAGACAGCCACTTAACTTACTTTGGTGTACATATTTGCGTTTTCTAGGAACAATTAACCTTTGAGCACCAGGTGTCAAATTTTCACCCAACTTACTCATTGTAAAGAATAAAGTCACCAAAAATTTATGAAGAAAAAAACCACTAATCAAAAAGCTTCTAGTTTACACTGATTTTTTTTTTATGGTTGTGTAGCAGACAGATGAAGTGTAATGTTCGGTATGTATGTACGGTGATGTAGTTTACCACATTTGTATCAACATCTGTATGATAAATGTTTGATAAATGTTTATGATAAATGTCAAGCAGAAGAAAGGGCCCCCAATTTAAGCTTCTTTAAGCATATTCCACACTGTATCCTCTGACTACAGAACATCAGAGCTCCCCAAACCATTTTTGTAACTGTTGGCAGCTGAAAGTAGATCATAACTTTACAACCCAGGTAACTGGATTTCTCTGTAACCATGCATAATGACAGGTTTCAGAGGAACAGCCGTGTTAGTCTGTATTCGCAAAAAGAAAAGGAGTATCTGATGAAGTGAGCTGTAGCTCACGAAAGCTCATGCTCAAATAAATTGGTTAGTCTCTAAGGTGCCACAAGTACTCCTTTTCTTTCTGTAACCATGAACATTTATTTTAAAAAGGTCCCTCTACCCTACCTGCCCTCCTCATTCTTGTCGAAGTACTGAAACATCAAGCAATCCCAAGAATAGAAATATTATATAAGTATCCTGCTAGCATACAACAACAAAAAAGGAAAGCGGGGAAAAGCAACGTTCACACATGTGCCCTTGTGAAGCAGCAGTTAGTCTCAAATTTTATGTCTACCATCTTGGAAAGTGTCCTTTTCATATGGGCTTGGTAGCCATTTTCTGGTAATCAACAAGAATTAAGATTCTACTTAAGAAAAGACAGTTACCTTTTCTATAACTGGTGCTCTTCGAGATGTGTTGCTCATGTCCATTCCATATTAGGTGTGTGTGCTCACCACATGCACCGGTACTTGAAGTTTTTCCCTTGCCGGTCCCCTACGGATACCAGCTCTGGCACCCTCTGGAGTGGTGCCCACATAGCACGGTATAAGGGGCACCACCGGCTCCCCCACCCTCAGTTCCTTCTTGCCAGAAACTCCAACAGTGGGGAAGGAGGGAAGGTTGTGAAATGGACATGAGCAACACATCTCAAAGAACACCAGTTACGGAAAAGGTAACGGGTCTTCTCTTCTTCGAGTGCTTGTTCATGTCCATTCCATATTAGGTGACTCCAAAGCAGTACCATCAGAGGCGGGTAGGAGTTCACGGACGTGTAGATTGCAACACAGCTCTGCCGAACCCAGTGTCATCCCTGGCCTGTTCCATGATGGCATAATGAGCCGTGAACGTGTGAACAGAGGACCACATTGCAGATCTACAGAGGTCTTGGATAGGGACGTGTGTCAGGAAAGCCACCAAAAATGCCTGCGCTCTCGTCAAGCGGGCTCTAACAATTGGTGGCGGAACCCCCCCAAGGTCGTAACAGGTCCTTACGCACGAGGTGATCCAATTGGAAATCCTCTGCAAGGACACCGGAAGGTCTTTCATCCTGTCTGCCATAGTGATGAAGAGCTGAGTTGATTTATGGAAAGGCTTGACACGTTCTAAGTAAAAACCCAAGGCCCTTTGGACATCCAGCATGTGAAGACACTTCTCTTCACTGGTCCTGTGTGGTTTGGGACAGAACACCAGGAGGATGTCGTCCTGGTTCATATGGAAGGTTTATACCACCTTCAGCAGGAAGGCCGGGTAGGGCCACAACTGACCCTTGTCTTTGTAGAAGACCTCAGAACCACCACACACGGTCAAGGCTTTAATTTCAGAGACCTGTCTCGCGGACGTCACCACCACCAGGAACACAACCTTCCACGACAGGTGGGAAAAGGAGCAAGAACCCAGCAGATCAAAGGGTGGGCCAGTGAGCCTAGAGAGGACCAAGTTAAGATCCGACTGAGGGACAGGAGCCCATACCTGAGGGAAGAGTCTCTCCAGCCCTCTCGAGAATCTGACCATGTCATGGGAAAACACTGCTTTTCACCCCCCGATTCAAGGACAGACAGAGATGGCTGCAAGATGCACTCTAATGGAAGAGTGCACCAGGCCCTGGTTCCTCAAATGGAGCAGGTAGTCCAGGTCAGCCTGTATGGAGGAACGCAAAGGAAGGATGCCCAGTGGGAAAACCTCATCCACTTGGCAAGTCAGTCAGTCTAGTTGAGAGCTTCCTACTTTCCAGGAAGACCTGTTGGACTCCTTCCAAACAGGTCCGCTCCTCCAGGTTCAGCCACACAGCATCCACGCTGAGAGATGGACAGACTCAAGGTTGGGGGTGTGGGAGCCAACCATGATCCTGTGACAGCAGGTCCGGTTGGTTGGGCAGGGGCCAGGGAGGGCCTGCTGTCAGGCTCATAAGCGTTCCGAACCAATGCTGGCAAGGCCACGACACAGCAATCACAACAACTTGCGCGTTGTCTCTTGATCTTTGCCAGGACCTTGCTGATGAGTGGAATCGGAGAGTATGTGTACAACAGGCTCCCTGACCACAACAGGAGAAAGGCAGAGAGGGAGCCTTTGCTCAGACCTTGCCGAGAACAAAACTGGTGGAACTTCCTGTTCTGTCTGGTTGCAAACAGGTCCACTTGGAGAGTTTCCCACCTTTGGAAGATCATACAGGCTACACCTCTAGATGGAGTGACCACTCGTGGTGAGAGAAGTCCCTGCTGAGGTGGCCCGCCAGTGTATTCTTGATGCTGGGAAGGTGACAAGCTTCCAGGTGGATCTTGTGGCTGATGTAGAATTCCCATCGATGGAGTGCCTCTTGACAGAGAGCCGACAAGCATGCTCCCCCCTGCCTGTTGATGTAGAACATTGAGGCTGTATTGTCCATCAGGACCCGTACGCTTTGCTTGACAGGTGGGGCAGGAAGACTCCGTACGCCAGCCGGACTGCTTGGAACTCTGATCTTTCTGTGCAACTTCACCTCCTCTGGGGACCACATCCCGTGCCTGGAGGTCGCCGAGATACACACCCCAGCCAAGGTCTGAGGCATCCGACACCAACTCGATGGAGTAAGGGGGGTTGTCAAACGGAACCCCTTCCAGGACTGTCCTGTGGTCGGTCCACCATCGCAGCGAAGGAAGTATCGCCTGGGGAATCGTAACCATCTTTTCCAGGGGGTCTCGGGACTGGAAATAGACTGTCCCCAGCCATTGTTGCAGGGGCCAGGCATAGCGGACCACGTAAGCGCATGCTGCCTTGTGGTCCAGCAGGTACAGACAGACCCTGGCTGTAGTCAGAGGGAACTCGTGATGAGGTTCGTCAGCATGTGGAACCCTGTCCCACAGTAGGAATGCCCTGGTGTAGGTCAAGTCGAGGACTGCTCCAATGAACTATCCTCTGCATTGGCACAAACATCAACTTTTTGTCATTTATCAGAAGGCCCAGAGAGCAGCATGTGGCTTGAAGCACCATGACATCCCTTTGGACTTGAGACCCAGAACTGCCCTTGAAGAGCGAGTCATCGAGGTCCGGATAGATCTGGCACCTGAAGACAGACACTACCACGGACGTGCACTTGGTAAACACGCTCGGTGCTGTTGCCAGGCCAAATGGGAGGACCTCAAACTGGTAGTGGTGATAAACCGGAGGAAGCGTCTGTGTCCTTGAAAGACTGCATCCTTCAAGTTGAAGGTGGCATACCAGTCTCCCAGATCCAGGGAGGGGATAACAGAAGACCATGTGGAACTTTAGCTTCTTCACCTAATATGGAATGGACATTAGCAAGCACTTGAAGAAGAACTGTTATATCCATGTTAAAGTGTGGAGAAATGGCTATTTTCATCTTAATGGGCCAAAATCCTTCAAAAACACTTCAGAAATAGTAGTTTGGAAAACATTGAAGAGGATGTTCTAATCCTTTCATAAGAGTAACTTACGATTTCGATTGATGACCATTGGACGTTTTTGATGAGGGATTGAATCTTTCTGGAAAAAAAATAGAGAAGTACACTCCTTAAAAATGAGCAGCAAAATAAGACACTTCAAAGTTAAAAGAAATAAAAATCCTAGATTAATCTGAAGGCAAGAAGGATTGAGTGAATTTAGCGCTTGAGGAATGGAGGTACTAACACAACTGGCGTAAGCCAGATACGATGCAAGCAGGTGTTATGCAAACTTCCCACAGAGTTCCATCAATGCACCTCAACCCTGACATGCAATATACCCTTTCTATGCCTGCTTTACAGTTCTCTAAAGCAGAGCCAATCATGCTGAACGGTTCTACTTGCTTGGTGTAGTTATACATGAATTAGACTGGGACTAATAGAATTATTTCACTAATATCCTCTTACCTAGATTTGAACTAGAAGATCCAGAGGTGAAAGGCTAGCACAGCAGAAAACTGCATGAACAAGAACAGTGAGGGTATGTCTACACAACAAAGAAAAACCCGCAGCTGGCCCGTTCAGTCAACTTGGTCCTGCAGGGCTGTTTCCCACCCTGCAAGAGCTTGGGCTCCAGACACAGCAACAAAACAGCTCTGCAGCCCACACCCCACAAGCCCAAGTCAGCAGGCATGGCCCAGACATAGGTTTTTCCTTGCTGTGTACACATACCCTGAATATACAAAACTGGACCAGATTTTAAGTGATTTTTTTTTTTTTTAAGACAGCAGTAAGTTTCATTTATTTTGAATGCTGTGAAAGAACAATTTGTTTTCCTTCTCTCTCAGTTAAAGATACTATCTGGGAAAACTGTAGTGCTTTCTGTATGCAGAGACATGCAGTTACTCAGCCGATACATCATGTTAACTAGCTTGTGCATCATCCCTACTCAGCTCTCCAGTAGCTGAGTAAGGATCCCACCATTCTGATCAATCAAGGTAGGTCACTTTAAATTCCTGACTTCTGGCAGGCTGTCCAGGGCACCACAACATGAGTCAGAACTGAAGTGGTCATAATTTGGTTTTCAGTGAAATTTTTAGGAGTTGAGAATCACTCCTAGCCTCTCATTAGGCTGGCTTCTCTCCATTTTACAGTGTATTTCTATATGAAGCATTTATAGATAGGCCAATATACCATAGCAATGGGTTTTCTAATTAAGTGTTTGAATTTATTTCCTTAATTCCTCTCTTTATTGTGTGTTCAGAGTAAGCAGCTTGTCAATATACAAGAATAAGCCACTCTCTGCTTTTACTACTTAATCTGATTAATTATTCGGGGTATGAAGGGTAAAGCTTGATGGAAGTGTAGGAGTATGGGCTGTGTTTCAGTCACACTAAACGCACTACCTGTAAATAATCCATTTGAGTAATTCTCATGGAAAAGGAAAGACATATTTCAACGAGAGCTTTGTTGCTTTTGTTCAAATTCTGAAAAGTGCTCTGGTAGTAGCGGAGAGTGAGCATATGCATAATCATACCCTAGAGCTCCTGACATTACTATATTCTCGGTTTTGAATTATGCCCAATAAGGTGAGCATGGAGTGCCATAACAAGGGGAAGCTACAGTGTGGCTATTGTCCCCAGCTATATAAAAAATCTTATGCTTTATTCTACTACACATATTAATTTGTCTGCTGGACATCAGGTTTGAGTTTTCACATACAATTATCACTATGATTTTCAATTACCTCTAAAGAGAAAGCATCTTTCAGAGGATTACAGTAATATGACTGGGTACAGCTAGGTATTTCCTTTAGATGCCAGAAACCACAATACAGTTTAATCATTACCTTTCAGATCATATAACAGGACTTGTAAAAGAAAGCCAATTATCTGTTTTATAGTGTAAGACTGGAAGAAAATATGGAAATGCTAACTTGGGGGTTTAACCTGAGACACCTCTCTGGAAAATTTAGATTTAAAAAAAGCCAAGAAGCCCAAAGGGCATTTGGGACATTAGTCGTAACATGAAAACATTTTATATAAATATTTTTTAAAATATATTAAACTACTTTAAATACTCACTCTGCTCTCCAGTGCCAAAAGTGGACTGTTGAGACTCCTAAGGGAATAAAAAGTTACACAGGATTACTTCAAAAGGGAGCGTTAACTAATGATGAAAGTAAAGGCTGAGTCATACTGCCCCCTATACATTTAAAAGACTGCAGTGTATTAGGACTTAAGTAGAAGAGTGAAGCAAAAGCAAGGAATACGGGTATCGGATTGTTCCTCTGGGCTCAAATTCCCTGCACCTACCCCAAAAGACATTCCAAACCCAAGCACATGGTCTTAGCACAGGGACTTACTTCACTAGGCCTGCCCCTATTCCCCTTCTACACCAGCCCATCTGTGTGTGCTGTCCCCCGCCCCCCCGTTACCCATGCAACTCAACACCTAATTTATGTACAATTATCTTAGCAGTGCTCACAAGTTAGGCCTGGTCCAGACTGGGAGGGGAAATTGACCCAAGTTACACAACTTCAGCTACGTGAATAATACGGTGAGTCGACAGCTGATACGCCCCCATCGAATCCGCCTGCGCCTCTCGCTCTGGAGGAGTACCGGAGTTGATGGGAGAGCACTCTGTTTATTGCGTCTAGACTAGACATGATAAATTGACCCCTGCTGGATTGATCACTGCCCCTCAATCCCAACAAGCCCTTAGACTAATTGGTTTATGTAAATTATATACCCAAATTATGGAAATCTAGCCTTGAAAATCAAGTCACGTTCATTCTGGCTTGGACATCAGCAGTAGAGACCCTGGCACCAGAGGCTGATTAGATTCCACAAAATCCAGCTCTCCCCCACACAGTAGTGCAAAGTCAATCCTGCTAAATGTAATTTAAAAAAAACAAAAGCTTGTTTTATAGTCCTTAAATAAACAGATCTGATTGAGTAGGTACAGGGAGCAGACTGCCAAATAAGAATGCCATATTTATATAGTCACCTTTTCTGACCATAACCTTGTTTCAATGCAGTCCAGCTTTGGCCCTAAAAATATGAAATAGCTGAAAATACATGACAACTTGAAATGCACTGCTTAGGAAATTGAATCTAGTATACTTAATTCAAATACTCTTCCATTAGTTTGCCAAGAAGAATCAAGTAATCAACCAACAGCGGGTTGTAACTTCTATAATAAGCCTGTAAACCAATCTCCCTAGCAATTGGCTCACTGAAGTGCTGTATGTACAAAATGGTACTCTAAACATTTTGAACAAACAAGAGCTTTACACAACATGTTTAGATGTTCTTAAAAACCTTTAAAAACTTCTCAATTTTTTATTGTAGATGAGTAAGTTGTTGAAGCAGCAATACATAAAGGAGAGTTATTTCTTGGAAGTTCTTCACTGCAGGATGTAAAGCTCACTGTGTTCTGCTAAAGACTTCCCTCTTCCTAAAGATAGCTTGTTTTATATGTTCTATTTTAAAAATTGCTTCTTTAATCAAAGAAAAGAGTAAAAATTTAAATTATCTCAAAATGAAGCCTTGTGACATCTTCCCAGCTTCAACAGATAACTACCAGATAAACTTTGGAAACATGCAAAAGGTTAAAGCAATGACGGATTTTTATATTTCACACTGACATACTGAATGTCAGAATGATTATCTGCTATTTGGTTTCTTTTTGCCTCCATGGCCAAAAGTAGCCAGCAGGCAAAAGTGGAAGGCTATCATTCAAAATGGAAGCCAGGATAGTAGGAAAATTATTACGCTGCCTAATTTCAATAACACTTGTAGATAACTACCATCCTGGGGTGGGCATACAAAAAGCAGTTTACATCTGTTTCTTCTAATGTACACATTGTGAATGCTATAAAAGAATGTCTGTGCAATTATCCATTTGTGTCACTTAAATATTTTTAAGTCACACCATAGCATACCCTGGGGGTGCACTTTGATTAAGATATATTTTGTTTTAAATCCATTTTCCAATAATCTATTTTGGTTTTGAACACATTTCACTTTAAGAAACTCAGACAAGCAAAAGCACAAGCTTACAGCTACAAAGTTATTTCCAGCAGTATCATCTCCCCTAGGGGACTACTTAGGAAGGGACAATTGAGAAACAATGGAGAGGAAGGAGACCATATTAATCTAATGGGAGTAACAGCAGACAGACTGGTCAGGACAGGCAATGAAGAGATTTAAGCAGGAAGCAAACTGCACTTAGACATAAAAAGCAGAGAGAGGGAAGACTGGATATAATTGGGCAGAATGGTAATGCAGGACTGAGGTAAGTTGCCAACTTGGCTCTAGTCCAGGTAGCAGTGACTAAAAGTGGTTGCCATTTGATGGCCGTTGGGTTCTATTTGAAATGAGACCACGGTCTCAATTCCACTTTCCATATTACTAACTTAACAGCAACACAATTAACCCTAATCAATGCCATTGCTGATACTCTGAGAGGTCAGTGACCGAATAAACTTGGAAACAAAACTCCCGTTCCCTTCCTTAGCCATCCCTCCTCTAGGTCACATCTGAGGTACTCCAGGGCAGAAGTTTACAATGCTGCCGTACTATTTGCTTTGTGGAGAGCAGACTTCAGTCTCAGACCTCATAATTGAGCAACTTTCACCTGTACAAAAAATCCTTGGCTTTTAAGATGTTTGCGTGGTACGTGTCTATCTATGCACACATATACAGACAGACATTTTATATATAATACCAATATTCTGGCTTTGGAGTCTGACAGTCATCTGCAGGAAATCTACCTGAGGATGGAGCAGTAACCTCAGGCCTCAGACCATGGCTCAAACCAAATGACAGAGTGTACAATTTTCAAAAGTGACTTAAGTATTTAGAGTCCTAAGCTCCATCAAAAATTTAATCCAGATTTGTTACGAAAAAGATCTACACGGTAATCCTGCGAGGAAGCCAATTTCATGCAGCTTTGTTCTGGCTTAGGACCTGCTTTACCATTATTAAAATATGTTAAGGTAATACCAATAGGCCCAATCAGGAATCTGGGACCACCATTCTAGGCACAATTCACATAAAAAAAGACAGTCCTTCCCCTAACAATCTAAGTTGACACATTAGTCCACAGAAAAGTGCCTAAGTTTGTAGTTTGGCATGCGAGACACACCAAGTGTTAGCACACAAATAGAATGCTGTGAAACCTAGCAGCATATTAACGTGAAGGAAGTACAGTTTCTGAAGAGATCAAGTCCTCTTAGGACAGTACAGCTTGATTAAAGTAAACCGCTGTTCTGTTTTTTTTTCTGCATTCCATTATGGTTTCAGGCTAAACAAACCCATGGATCACTAACTTGCTGGAATTCTTAAAAGATATTCCTGCCAAGAATGACAGGGGGTACAACATGGCAGAGGAAATTATAGACTTTGGATCTGCAGAGAGTATTTAACAGAGTTCCACATCTAAGATGCATAGTCATAGAATGAAAAAAGTTGGCTAAAAGTCAGAAGACATGGAGAAGCCATAAATGGAATTTTTTGCAAGCTGGTTTAAGAAACACAATCCAGGTTGATAAAGGTCCAAAAATGTGACCTGACTTTTTGTTCTTATACATCAGCAAGGCCAAGTAATCTAATATAGCTTCTTTCCCCCACCCCATACAAATGATTCAATATATATGCTTGGGAGGAAAGTCAAGTCAAAGGCCCACAAGCCAAACAATTAATAAACAACCCTACAATAACAAATAGGCACATGTTAGCAAGGTAGAGAAAAAACATTCTGTAAAGAAACAGATTTCTTCAAGTATGTTGGGGTTATTACATACGAGTTTTGAATATTATGAAACTTAACTTAGTGTATTACTACTGGGTTGCCAATTTTGTATTACTCAGCAAATTAAGCTTGGATGAAATGTGTGCAAGATTTTTAGATCAGTCATTACACTGACAAGATCATATAAGTACCAAAAGGGAACAGATAATGAAATGATGAGACTCATTTCTGGATTTGCATCATGAAGTAAAACTAGGAATTGTTGTAGAATACTTTGTAAATTATCAGCTCACTGGATAGCAGCAAACAAGAACATACAGTACAAAGGAGAAAGACAGGTACAGGGCTGGCCCTAGGTTTGGGAGACCTGTGCAGGTCCCCCATTCTGTTCTCTACAGGGAGGATTGGACTCTGTTTGTGGGTATGGATTGACAGCAGGGGTGTGGAGGTGATGTCCATTGGTAGTCATGAGACCTGGCCAGAGCATTTTAGAGAAATATATTAGTAATTTTCACCACAGCTCAAGGCAGCTACATTAATCTTGGAGATTACATAAGAAGACAGTGCCCATTCCCCACAAAAAAAAGCAAGTGATATAAGATGTTAAGAATGAAATAGATGAACATAAAAAACAACTGACAAAAATAAATTTCAAGTGAAATATACTTATAACTCAACTATTCTCTATCAGGGATCGAATTGGGTCATTCAGTGGGCTCTTACTTTCTTCTGGAGTCTGCCCGCAATGCTCCAAAATCTCAGCTTTCATTACAAAAAAATAAGTCTATCCCTCAAGACTTTGAAGATTATTCAGTTAACATTATAAAGGTTATTTATGAAGTAACATTTGCTGAGCCTGTAAATACTGAAACAGTGCCAAGGGAAGAGCAGATTGCCCCAATCCATTTTAAGGGTGTGTTAACTCTGGAGCAGAATGATATTGCAATGTTCTTTCACTGTTGATCACACACGAGAAATGAGGGATAGATGCAAGATACAGGGATGTAAGAGCTGCACTGTCTTCTTCTAGTGATGCCTTGTTCTGGAAAGTGACACCGGGCTAACAAACATACATTGACTCTAGAACTATAAATACTGATTTTTAAAGACATTAATGATATCATGAGGGGAGGGGATAGAACAACCTTAACTCTATTCAGTTGGCTTTTTTAAGTGCTTAACTGTGCATTTCCATACTTTATATGTCCAAATTTCTTATAAGCTTAACCATACCTTCAAATTCCCTGCATTTGTGATGCTTGACTTTGGAGATAATTACAGGATCCCTAGATGCTTTTAAGTTACTGACATGTATTCAACCTTACAACAAGTTAATGTAGTTTTTATCTGGAAATTATATTTTCTTTTGTTTTTAATTTAAAATGTTATACATAAATACTAAAAGAGAATGTTACTGTGTGATATTTCCAATGATATGAAGATACGTACTATCAATTTAAAAAAAGTTTTAAACTTTCAAGGCCAGATCTACCAGTACATACCCCACTACAGACCAGCACAAAGCAACCAGAGTGTACTGTGCAGTTTCCCTTCTCCCTCTTGGATCCTATCCAAATTCTCATGAGCGTGCGCACACACCAGTTTTCCCTTCCTTCCTTTCCTACTGAGCCGATCTGATGCAATGAATACTTTTTGAAAAGTTTCAGAGTAACAGCCGTGTTAGTCTGTATTCGCAAAAAGAAAAGGAGTACTTGTAGCACCTTAGAGACTAACCAATTTATTTGAGCATGAGCTTTCGTGAGCTACAGCTCACTTCATCAGATGTATACCGTGGAAACTGCAGCAGACTTTATATACACACAGAGATCATGAAACAATACCTCCTCCCACCCCACTGTCCTGCTGGTAATAGCTTATCTAAAGTGATCATCAGGTGGGCCATTTCCAGCACAAATCCAGGTTTTCTCACCCTCCACCCCCCCACACAAATTCACTCTCCTGCTGGTGCTAGCCCATCCAAAGTGACAACTCTTTACATAATCAAGTCGGGCTATTTCCTGCATAAATCCAGGTTTTCTCACATCCCCCACACCCCCATACACACACAAACTCACTCTCCTGCTGGTAATAGCTCATCTAAACTGACCACTCTCCAAGTTTAAATCCAAGTTAAACCAGAACATCGGGGGGGGGGGGGGGGGGTAGGAAAAAACAAGAGGAAACAGGCTACCTTGCATAATGACTTAGCCACTCCCAGTCTCTATTTAAGCCTAAATTAATAGTATCCAATTTGCAAATGAATTCCAATTCAGCAGTTTCTCGCTGGAGTCTGGATTTGAAGTTTTTTTGTTTTAAGATAGCGACCTTCATGTCTGTGATTGCGTGACCAGAGAGATTGAAGTGTTCTCCGACTGGTTTATGAATGTTATAATTCTTGACATCTGATTTGTGTCCATTTATTCTTTTACGTAGAGACTGTCCAGTTTGACCAATGTACGTGGCAGAGGGGCATTGCTGGCACATGATGGCATATATCACATTGGTGGATGTGCAGGTGAACGAGCCTCTGATAGTGTGGCTGATGTTATTAGGCCCTGTGATGGTGTCCCCTGAATAGATATGTGGGCACAATTGGCAACGGGCTTTGTTGCAAGGATAAGTTCCTGGGTTAGTGGTTCTGTTGTGTGGTATGTGGTTGTTGGTGAGTATTTGCTTCAGGTTGCGGGGCTGTCTGTAGGCAAGGACTGGCCTGTCTCCCAAGACTTGTGAGAGTGTTGGGTCATCCTTTAGGACTGGGAGTGGCTAAGTCATTATGCAAGGTAGCCTGTTTCCTCTTGTTTTTCCCTACCCCCCCCCCCCCCAGATGTTCTGGTTTAACTTGGATTTAAACTTGGAGAGTGGTCAGTTTAGATGAGCTATTACCAGCAGGAGAGTGAGTTTGTGTGTGTATGGGGGTGGGGGGGATGTGAGAAAACCTGGATTTATGCAGGAAATAGCCCGACTTGATTATGTAAAGAGTTGTCACTTTGGATGGGCTAGCACCAGCAGGAGAGTGAATTTGTGTGGGGGGGTGGAGGGTGAGAAAACCTGGATTTGTGCTGGAAATGGCCCACCTGATGATCACTTTAGATAAGCTATTACCAGCAGGACAGTGGGGTGGGAGGAGGTATTGTTTCATGATCTCTGTGTGTATATAAAGTCTGCTGCAGTTTCCACGGTATACATCTGATGAAGTGAGCTGTAGCTCACGAAAGCTCATGCTCAAATAAATTGGTTAGTCTCTAAGGTGCTACAAGTACTCCTTTACTTTTTGAAAAGAACCTTTTAAGATTAATGGTCATGACAACAAAGCTCTTCGTAACAAAGTTTCTTCTTCAGCCCCTGCTGATGGAAAATAGCATTATTTACAGAAAAATCAATGAAAAACTGCTCTGTTTCAAAATGGCTATCATTTCCCATTGTTCTCAATGGGACTGAAGCCACAGCAGCCAGATACTGCTTCCCAATTTTGTTCCTTTCAGGAAGGTACAGCAGTTGAGTGAATGCAGATGGGGAAAAACAGATTTGTGCTCTTTACAGGGCTATCATGGGCACTGTTGCAAAGCCAAGATGGATTTTCAGACAAATGGTTAGTACCTATTTCAAACAAACCGCAAGTGACAATGCACAGTTGAACTTAACAAGAGCTTTAAAATCCTGCAGTGCAATTCTTGATCTTTAAAACTAGAGAAACTCCTTTTAATGTCACTCAATATTTAACTACTAAATAAATATAATGTTAGGTTTGTCATTCACTAACCTTAGTTGGAAAAGGAAATTTTGAAGGTTCGGTTTTGCATGGTGTATGAATAGCAGTCAGAGGGGGAGGCCAAGAGTGGGTCATCTCCTGTAACCAAACCAAACAGCAAAGCCATTATATGTTAAGGTTAAAACACATCAAAATGTCAACTTTAAAAAGCTATACACACTTCTGTGAGAAATATTTTTACCTAAACCATTAGATGTAAAACCTAAGATTTAATATTAGAGACTAATTTGTTTTTTTTTTTTGTTTACTATATCCATTTGACAGCATTTTGAGTATGCAGTTCCATTCTCTGCCTATATAATGCACACTTTTGCAGAGAAATCTGAAAATTCTTTAAAAAAAATGTTTGTCCATGAAAATGGACACTAAAATACATTCAATAAAGAAAATACATAGAACTGATAAGCTGCTTTTTGTTCTTCCAAAACTTTACCAGCAAGTTTAAAACAGGGACATCAATTTGTATCAATACTTAGTAAGAAGATCTAGGAAACTGAAGGGCACAACAGCAGTTGCAGCAGAAACTGGAATCCAAGTACTTTTCTCACTGATGATTTTTAGGAAGTCAGGTAATGTAAGTGGCATTCTTGGAACACTGCTGATTTTCTTTCGTGCGCAGGCAAGTACTCCATTTTCCGTCTTGAGCAGTGTTTGTTTATTTAATGAATAAAGTCAAGCACAGGAAGAATAGACAACTTACTTTTAGAATTTCATCCACACAGGTCACGTCACCAGATGCTGATGCCTATAAATCAAAGTTCAGGATTAACTATTACATTTATACCTCAAGACTTCTCCCTCCGCCCCACCCCTTAACACACAGAATTTAAAGTTATACTTGTTTGTGGCCCAAGTCCTGATGGCCCAAGTCAGTGAGAGAAGTAGCACTGCTAGACTAAAGAACCAGCAATAGTTTTAGGATCAGATATCTCCAAAATTGCAGAAATCCTAGATTTCCTAAAGCACAAAGCAGTCACATTTAGCAATGATACACAGAGATATCATAAAAATCATGTTATTCTAATCCCTTTCCTGTATCCCTCCCTTAAATATTACCAGGATTTTAACAAGCCAGTGTCGTACAAACATCTGAAAGTTTGGCTTCATTTATTTTTTAAGCTATAAGTTCATGAGGCAAGTAAGTCACTGGCCACTATGTGAACCCAAGTGATTGAAAAAACATAATGGTAACCAATAACGTGACTTTAGATCTGTTCTCTCATTAGCTGCATTATTAATTAAAGCATAATATGGTCTACTTACAGTTTTTGTACTTTAATAATTCCCTGTACCTCTGTCCTAATACATGTAGAGGGGAAGAGAGCTGCAATACTGCTTGTCTTAGTGTAAAATATAAATTACTCACACATTTGTGAATACTTGGCATAGATATCTTTCCTTATGCATGATTTTTAACCATGGCCAATATTTTTCTATATTGTATTTAGCCATTTATTTGGGATATCTAAAAGACTCCCAGCTATTGCTATTCAAGTAGCTAAGAGCAGATGCAATAGCATCTTATTAAAATAATTTTAAACTGTATTGATCCCCAATATGGCTGTGCAGTTGCAAGCAACCTATACTCAACACTCCAAGAGTAGCTAAACCACTAAAACAAGTTAAATATGCCCTATACAAAAAAAATATTGCTTACATTCTGAAACCTATTAAATTGTTTTTAAAAAACTGTAGGTAAATTATGCACAACAATTACTACAGTTCAAAAGAGAATTTGGTTTATGCCACAATCTAACATAACCAAGAGTAAAATCCATTACATATGACTCATCAGAAAGAACAGGAGACCATAAAAGCTCCAATATGGTATGCAATTATGTAAAAACCATGACATGCACATTGGGGATGTAGAAGGAAATAAACAAAATTCTCCTTAAAATACAAAAGAAAAATGTGTGACTTCCCACTGACAAACTACAAAGTTGCTTCACTTTCCAATGAGAAGTCCTGTATTTTTATAATAAGTTAATGGTAGTCATATACGCTGGGATTTTAAATGGAGCGCATAGAACATAGAGGTGGACAAACTATGGCCCGCAGTACCGTCCTGCCGGGCCCTTGAGCTCCCAGTCGGAGAGGCTAGCCCCCGGCCCCTCCCCCGCTGTCCCCCATCTGCCGCAGCCATGCCACCGCACTGCCAGCACTCTGGCCTACTGCTCCTGCCAGGCAGCAAGCTCCTGCCACTCTGAGCAGCAGGGTAAGGGAGCAAGGAGGTTTAATAAGGAGCAGTGGGTTCTGGGGGGCAGCCAGGGGACAGGGAGCGGGGGGGGGTCGATGGGGGAGTCCCGGGGGTCCTGGGAGGGGGCAGTCAGGGGACAAGGAGCGAGGGGTTGGATGGGTCAGAAGTTCTGAGAGGGGCAGTCAGGGGGCGGAAAGTGGGAGGGATTGGATAGGGGTCGGGGCCAGGCTGTTTGGGGAGGCACAGCCTTCCCAACCCAGCCCTCCATACAGTTTCGCACACAGATGTGGCCCTCGGGCAAAAAAGTTTGCCCGCCCCTGCTATAGAAGTTAGGCACCCAACTCCCTTAGGCACCTCTGAAAATCCCAGCCATGAATGCTGAAAAAAAATAAAACCCCAAACTCAGTACCAACTTACATCTAGTGGTTGAGAAGGTATTTTAAGCTTGGTTAGATGTGCTTTGCTGCTAGACTTCAGCTCACTCATGCTGTTGCTATGAGTCTGACTACTGTAGTGTTCAGAGGACAACTTTGGTTCCATAGACTCCTGTCCATCCATGGGCCTTACATAGGCAGTGGGCTTCTGCAACATTGAATTGGACTTGGACATTAGTGAAGGAGGAAAAGACTGGTTAGAGTGCTGTCCACTTGAAAATGAAGGTACACGGGAAGGTGAGTCCCAGTTGGCATCAGGATCCCGTGGAGATTTTGAACGCTGATGTTCCTTGCTATGATGATCACTTCCATGAGACCTGGAATGGCTGGAGCTCAATGAAGAAACAGCAGGTGGTTTTCCAGGGCTGGAAGAACGGGATTTGGAGTGTTCTGATCCGTGCTGGCTTTTTTTGCGGCTGCTGCTACTACCACCATATGAGTCACGGTCATGCCTCTGGCCACTGCCGCTAGTGTTATTGCCACCACTCCGCTGACTGCTATGTCCTGTTTGTAAACCTGAGGACCGTTTCTGCGATTGGGAGGAAGTGCTAGGTGCTGGTCCTACAGGAGTCCATTTGCTGCTCTGATGAGAGCTGGTACTGTGTCTCTGTTCACCAAAGAAACTTTGGTTTGATTTTTCATCAGGCGTTGATGGTACTGTTGGTTTGGGAATACCAACAAGCTTTTGTAGAGATCTGTCTCCTATAAGATCCTTCATTTCATCATAATTTCCAAGCATGCTCTGAATACGGTTAGACAGTTGATCTTCTTTGCTGGTCTGTGCAAAGTATAACAGAAATAGAAGATTAAAAATATATTTAAGAAGTATTTTTAAAATGAGATTCCTAAATCTAAGATATATACAACTTGGCTTAGGTAAGCTGACTTGACACAAAACTAGAGTAAAAAGAAAAGGAGTACCTGTGGCACCTTAGAGACTAACCAATTTATTTGAGCATAAGCTTTAGTGAGCTACAGCTCACTTCATCGGATGCAAACCCAAACTTCAGAATTAAGAACTTAGTTAGCATCCAAGACTATTTTGTGTAGCGTCCCAGTTTCGCCCTTTGTTCAATATTTTAATCCCTTTAAATTTAAATAAATAATTTATTAAATTTAATACATAAGTAGTAATAAATGAACTCTGCATACCAGTTCAGAGCAGAAAGAGGCTGAGATTTTTCAGTGCTGTCAAACGGAGTTAGGCACTCAGCTCCTATTGGTGACTGAGAATCCCAATGAAAATTTCTGTAGAAGTACTAAGTTATTCTCCTAATATACAAAGAACTATGTAGTTATTATTCCCTTCTGATTTCTAAAGCTAGTAATCTTATTTTTAAGATTTCACTCATCCTCTTAAAATTATTTTATCTTTACTCTCCCCCAGGTGTCTTCAAACTATACATATTTTATTCTTAAAGGCTGAAAAACCCACATAGTAAAAGACCATTTGGCTGTGCACCACTAAGAAGCAGCCTTCAGTGGGCTAATATAACTAATAGCATATCCATAAAGCCTGATCAAGTTTAACATTAAATGCAGCTTCCTATTACCAAAAAATGGTAGCTAGTTTACAGATATTAGTTTATGAAATATCATGGACTGAGTGCAGGGGGAAAAAAATGTAAATATTGTAATGGCAGAATCTTCCACCCAAACCAAGATCTATCTATCAAAAGTAGACCAGACAACTGACTGGCCAGAGAGCCTAATGCGTTGGGAACAATTAGAGGTTGGCACAAACAAAACCAACCTTATCCATTAGGCCAGTTCAGCTGTTTTAAATAACGACTGTTCAACTGCCAGACAGACAAGATGGGCTACTATATGCCATTTTCTATATTCAATGCCCCCTTCCAAACAGTCCTTCAAATCCCTCACTTAGCCAAGAACTTTCCATATAGTCCCTGGCTTTAAATCTCACATCATAGCCACCATTCTTTCAGCAGAGGATTGACTAGAAATTAACAACAGACAGCCTTACTGGCACAGCAGGAAAAAAGGGGGGGGGGGGGAGAAATCAACTAGGCCATCCTGTAGAGGCCCATGCACGCTTATTTTGATAGTTTGTGGGGAAATGGTCCAAAGTAGTTTAAGGAAGTAAGAAGCCAACAGTTAGAAAGAAAAATGTAATGGAAAGGTTTAAAGAGCCTTAATGCCACAGTTCCTTTTAAATTCTGCTATAATTCTATGGTAATAAACAATTTTTCCTTTAGTCATATGAACTAGGTAGGTGGTCAAAAGCATCTTTTGTTCAAAGCCCTGAGCTAGGATCACAAAACTCTTCTAGAAGAGAGTTGTGGGGAAGTATTACTGGCCACACAAAAATGGCACTGGCACTTTTAAGAAAAGAATCTAGTAATTATTTATGCAGTTCTTACTTATGCACTTCTCAGCTTGGACAAGGAAAATGAACCACTTATATCACTTTTGTTTGTAGTCTGTTTCTAGTCAATTCCATTCATGCTCTAGCACAATTTTGCAGTATTCATTTATGAACACAGCAGTGGACATTTTGTTTAAGTATCTTTCCAATAGAATTCTCTCTAGAATCTGGGCCAAAGTTGGGCTGTGTTTATCAAAGACATGAGTTCTATACAGTATAGCTTTAGGTTGACGATGAACAATTGTACCAGTGATATTACTCCTGCGGGAATTCTGCGTCACTGCATGTGTGCAGAATTCATGTCCCCTGCAGATTTCTTTGCTTACCTGCAGAAAAATGACTTTCTGACAGGGAAGCAAAGGGAAGCTGCAAGAGCAGTCGTGCACCACTCCCTAGCTGCACAGGTACCTCATTTCAGGCACCCGGAGCAGGCAGTGGAGAGGTAAATCACTGCAGCCAGCAGCTCCTACCCTCAGCTGATTGGCTGGGCTGGAGACAGAAGAGGACGGGACACTCTCTTCCGCTGCAAGGAGTGGCTGTGGCTGTGACCCCCAGCTGCAGGAAGCTCAGCATTCTCCCCTGCTTCCTGCCCCCATCACTCCTCAGCTGCAAGGGAAGGGGTCACTGTATGGGGAGCTGCTCCCCCATCCACCTAACCCCATGCATCCGGACCTCCCATATCCGGACACCCCCCCCCAAGCCTCACCCCATACACCCCAGAACCCCCCTATCCTTTCATACGCAAACCCCACCACATTGAACCTCACCCCCTGCCTCCAACCCCCACCCCTGCACCCAGACCACCCCCACTGAACACCCTGCACTTAAACCCCCACCACCTTCCTGAGTCCCCACATCCAGATCAACATGCCACTGACCCTCAATTAGCTGCACCCAAACCCCCACCCCACCAATCCCCACTCCCCCAGCACCCTGACCCCCCTGCTGAGACACCCACACCCAGATTGCTCCACTGAGCCCCAAACACTTTCACCTGGAAGTTCCTGCAGAGTTCCATTGCCCCTGTACCTGGAAACCGCCCCTCTGCCCCCAAACAAGCCTCTGTGCATCCAGATCCCCCACACCTAGGCCCTTCACTGAGTTGCCTGCACCCAGATTGTCCCACACAGAATCCTCTCACCCCACACCTGGATCTCCCCGACAGAGCCCCTCCACAATTGGATCCTGTCTGATTGAGCCAGCCTGCCCCACACCTGGTGCACCTTATGCAGAGGGGTAGGGCCCCAGGGTTTTTCTGGGGCAGGCCCAGGCCTTCTGCTTGTCTGGGTCAGGTGCAGCCTCACTGCTGAGTCTGTGTTCCCGGGTGGGAAGGCTGCAGCGTGATCTCCCAGAGTGATGCTCCCCACTGCCATGCTGGAGCCTCTGCATTTATTTATTGACAAATAAAATCTGCAAAATTTTAAAATATTGTGTGCAGAATTTAATTTTTTGGCACAGAATGCCCTCAGAAGTATGATATTAAGAACCTCAAATACCAATCAGTAGACTAGATAGCAGGGGTTCAAAAAAAGCAATGCCATAGCCTCAGTCTGAAAGATTAGTTATTTCTCTAATAGCCCTTAAATGATGTTTACAGGGCGGCCTGCCCTAAAAAAGTTATACTGGTAGAACTATGTCAGTTAAGGGTGTGATTTTTGTTTTTACTGATACAGTTCTTCTTGTCCAAGCCCTAACATGTGCAGTTATACCAATTCTGCTTATCAAAGTGGAATAAGCACTTATCTGCCAGCATAACTATGTCCGTACTAGGAGGCTTAACACTTCAACTTCAAGCAGCAAAACTTTCTAATACAGACAAGCCCCAAGTCTCATTTCCTCACTCTACCAGAGGAGAGTAAATTGAATTTTTTTTTTTTTAAAAAAGGTTCTTGAATAATAAAGAATTAAAATCATGGATGTCATCATCTTACCCTCCCAATATTAGTTTCTGCCTCCAGCACATAAATAGTGTTAGTCTATAGGTATTGAGTGTGGCCTAAATAGATCCTTAGGAGAGAATCTAGTGGGGGTTTAAAGTCATGGGTAGGGACTTTAAAAAGTTTGTAAAGAAAAGAAAAAAGTTACACCAAACCCTGAATTAGGCTCACAATAGTCAATGAATTTTAAGGAACCTGGCTATATGAAATTGTAAGAACCCCAGGCTATTAAGCAGCTTTGCATTTAAAACCAACCTGCTAGTCAAACATCCTATTCCTGGGTTTACCTGTAGCTAGAGTACTGTAGATGAATGTTAGTATGCTTAAAAAAAAAAAGCTAGCCACCATAACAGATCTGACCAACACTTGAAATGTTTTGGGTGGCTGGAACAAATTCAGAAGAAAACTGAAAAGTTAGCTGAAGTTTCATTATTCCTTTCAGCACATCCTTTCAATTAAAGCAGTGTCTTTATTCTTTAGTGATATTTTGAGCATCTATTAGTCCTGCTACCTAGTAACCATCCATCCTCACTTTCAAGCTCTGCTTCTTATCACTGTCACAAGAACTGGGCACCAGAAAAATTCACGTAAAAAAGACTAGAAACCAAATAATTGAAAATATGGCTTTTGCCACAAAGAACTGCATTTTTTATAATAGCATAAACTCACAACTTTATATGGTTCAGCAAAGAGAGGAGAGTTAGGTGGAAAGACTTCTTCGCCCTGTTGAATTTCTTGATTTCGCCTTTCCCTTTCTTTCATACGCAGCACATTCCGGTCTTCACGGTTCATGTTGCTATGAACAAAAACATAATTTCTGATCACAGAATGGAAATGAAGGATGAAAGTGAACAGAGCTAGTTCCATTGTATGCAGTTTGCCAACAGAATGGTTCAATTGAAGAATCCCCTTATGACAGTAGGAGATATCCAAAATTGAAAAGAAGTTTAATTAAAAACAGCTGGCATCTGAATTTGCTATAACCTGCAGTCAGCAATTAGCTTATATCTGTAAAACTGGTAGAGCTTAGGCAACGATCAAAAATGGAAAAATTCACACAGAATTCATAGTGAACGAATCCCTACTCCTCCAAACCATTTCACCTGCATAATTAGTTTAAGTTAGAATAGTCTGGTTTAAAAAAAGAAGTATCCATTTGCCATTCACTGTTAAAAGCTTCCACCACTTTTTCCTCTTAATATCCCCTGACTGTTCCCCCATTCAGTATACAACCCCCACCCACACTCCATCCCTTCCCATGTCCAATGCTTGGCCTCTACTTTTGCTCTACCTTATTTTGCTTTGTTTTTGTCCCCAACACAGCTTCTTTGGTGTCCATCCTCTATCGTAGTTAGACCTCAGCTTTGCTCTTGTTTCTAGGTTCCCTAAAAAACGACATTTCTGCTCTAAATACATATTTCAGCAAACACCTCAATTACAGCAATATTGCAGCCTCTCATCCACTGTCCTGTCGTACAGTCAGGAACTACTGATCAGTATGGGTTAAGAAACTGGAAAATTTCTCTTTTTTAAAGAAAAGTTTACTGAAATCTGACTTAGGAGATGTCTGCTTCAACTGACACACTGCTTTAATTATAAGCAATAAGGCCAAATTTTAAAAAAGGATGTCTAAAAAGTGTCTCTCTGAACTTGAGAAAGCATCAAGACAAAGTAATTAGGGAAACAAGATTATGAATAGGATGGTACTAGTAGTGGTGTTTGTGTGTACTATTCTTCTGCACCGTCATAAGTGTAAATCAACATTCAGTTGTTTATGCAGCACCACATGTGCAAGGTGTTTACACAAAGAAGAAATTAGTGTCCCTGAAAGATGCTACAGTCTAAGTAAGATGAAACAAAATAAAAGGTTATGTTAATTCAAGAGACCATTATTTGACTGTTTAGACAACTGCTCAATTATTTTCAAAATGTTTGCTGAAGTATTCTATTTGAAATCTACATGATAAAACAGTTACTCTATTCTAAATAAATGAGTAGTCTTCTTCAATTTCTATTACTCAGCCTTTTAAATAGTTACTTCAGCTTACTTTCACTGTAATTTTTCTTGTCTGTATTTAGCTTCATTCTGATTGTCTCATACTCTAAGTTAGTATAATGAACTTTAAGAGATGCTGAAAAGTAGATTACGGCCAAAATATAGTTTTAAGCAATATTAGTGGAAATATTCAATTTAAAAAGAAAACTAACAGACAGGTTTTGGTTTTACGTAAGTATTTTCCAGCAGTGTCTACAACGTAAACAGAATAAGAGTGTTCCGTTCAGGCCATGTCTTGATGGGCAAAAATGATGTTTCTTAATTGTGTTAGCTTAACACCAGTCTACAAAATTGTCAGCTAGAAAACCTCTGAATGTACTATTCTGCATCTTCAGGAATGTTAACATGAATAAAAAGCCCTGATAAGCTAAAGTGATTGAAAGCCATTCATCTGTTCTTCAAGTCTGAGCCCTATAAAAACTGGCACCTGGAAAGTGAACCTGACTAGTTCACTTTGATTGTCCAAACAGACTGAATGGCAAAAAATAAACAAATTTTCTTAAAATGGTTACTAATTTAAGTTTTTGTGATAAAGGAAAGATAAGGATTCTTTAATTTAAAAAACCACAATACACATATGATACACGGAACCTGGAAAATTCATTTCAACTTGACCATGGATACAGAACTGAGAGATAAGATCCTTCTTTGGGCTAGTATCCTGTCTTCCTATAAAAAGTATTGAAACAAAAAGATATTATAGACACAATATGAATCTCAGACTTAATTATACAGACTGTTCAGTTAAAAGTCACCTAGAACAGCTGCATTTAACTTCTGTGCCTGTTGACTATAAAATGTAAATTTTGATTAAGCCTTTCAGCTTTACTTTTTGTTCCTCCTCCTAGAATACTTTATCCATATGGGTAATCTAGGCATATCTAGAAGACATACAATTACTAGAGTTTAGAAGCATATAAAGTTTAATTAACATTTAAGCAGACTTAACATTTGCAGCTATTTAAAAATATGGTGTAATGTTCACAATGTAATAATGAGAAACAAATTTTGATCAGCAATAACTTTTACAAATGAAGACCTGGAGCACCTTCCAACCTTACATTAATAATCAGGACTATCCAAACTAATGGAAATACTCTTCTTACTGCACTGAGGGACTGCAATGTGTGCAACAACTTCACATAAAAGACAGTAAAGATGGAAACCTTGGTTTGGGAACTGAGTTCAGTCAGGGGAAACACTGGAGTTAAACTGGCTCTCTCAGCTCACACTACTAGACCTATGGAGAAGAGGTAATTAGAAATATTAGACAAGCTACCTGAATGTCTCCCTTCCACTAATCCCCATCTTAAACATTATAGTAAAAGAAAAAATTCACAGGTGGTCATTTGGATTGTATTTGTTTCACTGAAGCCAAGAATTTAAAAGGGATCAGATTAAATCTTCAGAGCTTCCAGTGAATAACAGCCATTAAAATCATTATAAGTTTGCATACGGTAATTATGTTAACAGATTAATTTAATGGATTGCTGGTTTGGTGGATTTTCATAACTATGTAAGTTATCCCAGACAGCTCCCTGGCTGAAGAAATGAGCAGGTACTATACAGCTATAAGATGGTCACCTGAGAGAAACCAGATGCAGGTCTATGCTCAAATAAAAATAGTAAACAGCAAATGTACTTTAAAAAGCAAATGACAAAGGTATGTCTATTAAAATCAGTACTGCTACTAATTAACTGGTTTTGCAAACTCCTTTAGGTTAAGGCTTTTACAGCTACATTGTAATTCTCAGTGAATTTTTTTTAAACCAGTTAAACTATGAATATTTAATTTTGATGAAAGGCATCCTGCACAGATGGTTCATTAAGTTTTTAACAACCAAAAGTGATTCTCCTATGCTCTGATCCTCTTGCCTCAATTCCAGTGTCAAAATGCAAGAGCTGGAGAACACATTAACCCCCGCCCCCGGAGGCGGGGGGGCGGGGGGAGAGGGAGAAGAGAAATTACACTAACAAAGCACATTAATAGTCAGACATCACATGAAACCCAAAAAAAACACTGACTAAAAACTGAATCCAGCTGTGTCCAGTTGTTGGGTTTGGGTTTTATGTTAAAAAGAAACTGTTTTAAGCTGAAACCTATTACCAGCTGTTTTTTTGTTTGGTTGTTTTTTTTGTTTTTTTTAAAGAAAAAGGAGTTGGACTGCACATTTCCAACACCCAGATCATCCTTATTGCCATCCCACCCTCTCACCGAACATCTTATCTCTCATTTTCCCAGTCCTCCTTAGCGTGAGATGTGTATGGCTTCACTGCAGTTACTCCAGGTGATCGTTAAGCCAGGGTCTGAGCACACAGGTTAGGCTAGTCTCGATCTGAGCAGTTATACTGCAAAGCCCTACCCAAGTTATTATGTTTTTACTGGTACAGTACTCCCCCTGTGTCTCGTTAGGACTTCTGGGAGCATATCCCATGGTTCCATGCAACCCAGTATGCTAAGCTGCCCAATGAATTGTGGGAGAATGTGGTCCCTTCTGGGGATACAAGGGGAACCGTGGACATTCACTGCAGGACTATCATCACACAAGTGCTTTAGCCCCAGTCCTTACTGCACAGTGAACAGGTTACCAGCCCAAGCGAAAGCCCCCAGGTTCTAACCCACAACCCCTCATAAGCTAGCTAGCATAGGTTGAAAGTATCACTAAACTCAGGTAAGAGGTTTATGTGTGGGGATGGGAAGGGGAATTAGGGCAATACCTGTTAAACAGTCCAGAGTAATGCTGTAGTGAAGACATACCCTACGAAAAGCCAAATCAACTGAGGCAATGCAACTGTCACAAGATGGACTTATTTCACAAAGCTGTGGTTACAGTGATCATCATTAAGTTACGACAGTGGTATCTGAGGTTCCAGAGTTTTCCCCTATACTTAAAAGTAGAAACAACTGTGATAACTCCGTATGTTCTACTGACAAGAGATATAAGGTGGTAAGGTAATATCTTTTATTGGACCAACTTCTGCTGAGAGAGAGAGCGAGTGATGCTTTCGAGCCACACAGAGCTCTTCCTCAGGTCTATAAAAGGTACTCAGTGTCACAACTAGATACGTCAAACAGATAGAATATGTGCTAACTACTTATGCTAAACTCTCTATTTGATCTTGTACTTTTATAGACCTGAGGAAGAGCTCTGTGTAGCTCAAAGCTTCTCTCTCTCACCAACAGAAGTTGGTCCAATAAAAGATATTACTTCACCCCCTTGTTTCTTTAATATCCTGGAACCCACACGCTACAACACTGGAAACAACAACAGATATGTTGACTTTCTAGATTTGTGATTTCTGTATGCTCAAACTTTCCTCTAAATTAAACTTAAAATATAAAGACAGAATGGGGGGAGGGATAGTGGTTTGAGCATTGGCCTGCTAAACCCAGGGTTGTGAGTTCAATCCTTGAGGGGGCCATTTAGGGATCTGGGGCAAAAATTAGGGATTGGTCCTGCTTTGAGCAGGAGCTTGGACTAGATGATCTCCTGAGGTCCCTTCCAACCCTGATATTCTATTATTCTATGAATAAAATCATCATGAGAATAGTGAAGTGAGTGTTACTTAAATCCCTGCTGCCTGGTTATAAAGAGAACCATTTCCTCTTGTATCAGTACTTAATAATAAATGTATTGTATGAGAAATATACTAGAGACAATGGTGAGGAAGCAGGGTACACACTTATTCTGAAAAGGTTTGGCAGTTATTCTTTCCACTGGCTCATGGTACTCCAGGCAGCCAACTAAAGACAGCTATGCAAAGCAAGTCAGAGTAACCCATCTGAATCTCAAGTGGTGCAAAGTCTTCGAGGCTTTCATCTTTCACTAAACAATGAACAGTTGTTTTTATTAACCACACATCTTAAATCTGACAGGAATAAAGCGAAGACAAGGAAGCAGGCACCCTTTTCTCCCAATTATTACTGGCAACATGGTGGAAGGGGATGGATCACTTGATGATTACCTGTTCTGTTCATTCCATTCCTTCTGGGGCACCTGGTATTGGCCACTGTCGGAAGAAGGATACTGGGCTAGATGGACCTTTGGTCTGACCCAGTATGGCTGTTCTTATGAAAGACATCAAGATAAAGAAATCTCTTTTTAGGTGTATGTCTAGGGATAGGCTTAACATCCTTTCTTCTCACCATGTCCCCCCTATTCAACAATCAAAGAGATCGAAGAGTTCATGAATTCAGAATCCATCCCTTCATAAATTCACCATGCTCCCTCACTGATAGCAGCATTGCTCAGTCTTCTTAGACCCATTAAAGCAACGAAGACACAGCTGCCAAAACTGGGTGCCCAAATAATCCTACACACACAGCGT